AAGATGGCAAATGCTAAACGGAAAAAGGTAAGTGTTTAGATTGATAGAGTATGTTATGTAAAAAGAGTACAATGCAGGTAGATACCACGACGCAGGCATAACAACGATTATATGTGATTGGTTCAAAGGACTTTTATCAATCTGGGTTTAACATCCTGTCAGTAGGTAGCAGACAGAACAAAAATATTGATTCCAAGTGCTGCAATGAATGAATCAAATCTTCATTGGAACACAAGAAGAAAAATATATGAAAACCCTCGATTCTGCAGGGGGCTCCACATAAGTCGCCTTTGGGACGCAGCATTCCTTAAAAGTCATGACGCTAGCATACGCAGCGTCTGGTGCCAAAGTTCATCTCATCTGCATTGCAGCACATCCGATGAGGTTTCAAATGTCCCCTCATAAGAAAAAAACAGATAAAACCCCTCGATTCTGAAGGGGGCTCTACATAAGTAGCCTTTGTGTCGCGGTATTCCTGAAAAGTTGTGACGTAGGCATGCACGGCGTCAAATTACAGAAATGATTTTAGAGACATTAGCATATATTTCTGGACAATAGGAACTGTAATCAGTTGTCATTGTGTTTTTTAGAAACAGTGCATCCCTTTCCTTACAGTGTCCTATCGTACAAATTTTTATCTTCGTAGGTCAATTGTGTAGTATATGCACGTGGCACAGCCTCGTGGTAGAAATCTACAACCAAACAACTTGAATTTTAAAAAGTTCAAACACTGTCAGTCTTATATCTATAGCTTGTACATGTGTATATCAATTATGATGAAATCGCTCACAGTCGTCATGTATTTCATGTAAGTCGTTAGCTGATAGTAAATTATAAGTGATATTTACGATATTTATTTGATTTAAGCTTAATCTTAAATAATACCTTATTATGACACGGACATTTTATTTTATTGGACCTATCTATAAATTGGCTTTCAAAATGTAAAAAAAAAAATTGATGTTAATTTATGACAAACATTTAAAGATGAAATCACAATTAATTCCTATATTCACGAGTTTGAAATAATTAATTCAAATTACATAGAAGTTTGCTGTTTCAAAAGTATAATACCACGTCAATCATGTGTACTTTAAATTTTTAAAACTTTATATTAGAAGGTTGAACTGTGGTTGAAATATGAAACATTCCTGTGGAGGTAGTAATCAATCGCTATCGAATGTCATATCTTTCCAGGTACGTCGGTAATGTTTTTGTATTTGTTGTCAATGTGAAAGAAATAGAAAGGTATCGGTATGTTTGTATATATGGACTATACACCATTGAATGTTAAATTGAAAAAATATGGTTATTTAAGCATATTCGATTCTAAAGTATGAGACGGTTTGTCCATGTTTTCATAATGACGTATTGTTCAACAGAGTTTTGTGTAGTTTTTGTGAACGTCATCAAAAGATGACGTACTTAATATGTGTACTTTTAACTATGACGTCATACTAAAACTCAGTTGCGCTGTGAATCCATAAATTGGCGAAAGCGCCAGAAACTCTACATTCTATTTTTTTTTTCATACAAAATGTAAATATGTGTATAAATTTTCCTCTTGTATATTAAACCTCTGAGATATGTAAGTCCTACGCGAAGATATAGATACAGTTATTTAAAGTATCCACAATGTGTGCGCTTTTTTGTTTGTTTTTTAATTTGTTGAATATTTAATCTAAACCTATTGGGAGTTTAATTTCCGACTATCGAAAAAATCAATCTCTGGTACATCACTGACAGGCAATCCATTGGCGCATTATCTGGGGTCCCTAGCGTGCAACTCAATACATTTGTAATCAGTTCATGTAGAATTCAATTTTAAGTTACTACTGCTAAAATGCTATAGCAATCTAATTATAATCCTCAGCTTTTATAGATATTCATCATCTATTTTACTGACATTTGTCAATGTAATAGATTCCAGTACAAGGTATAAACATTCACGAATTGTATCTTGTTTAAAGCTAACATTGCAAAAGAAAAATATATTTTCAAATACGAAAAGAATATCTCAAACTCATTAAATGAATATGCATTTCAGATTTTTAAATATCTTTTATTGCTCGGGTTGAAACGTTTATGTGCTGTCAATTATAAATGACACGCGATGCGATCGATGTGTGCATATGGCGTTATGTATTTTTTGCAGTTTTCAAGGTAAAATTATACTTACACCTCTAATCAGTTCTCGCCATGCAGGTGAACGATTGATTCTTATTCACATCTGACATAATGATACCGAGTATTTAATTTAAATATTACGTAATATTCACGACGTACTTACTTTGCATTATTGTGCTAATATTTCTAATAAAATCAATCCGTGATTGGTATTATCAATATAGATTAATTATAAAAATGATTATCCAAAAAAAAAGCAAAACATAATTAAATAAATAAAGAGAATATAGTAAGTAATAGTCATTGCTATAATCTGACTCTCGCATATACATAAAGAATGCAGTTTCAATTAATATTAACTTTATTCAGTTTACAATTATGAAATAAGTTATAACAACTAATATAAATCACTCTGGTTGTCCGGATGTTTAACGCACAGAGAGTCTAAAGAGTTCCTAGAAAAAATCCACCGTTGTCGGGCAGGTGAAATTCATTTTCACCTCCAATCGAGGGATCCAACCCCGGCCGTCTTAATGAAAGACCAGTGCGCTATCCACTGAGCAACCAGATCATCCGCTTTATAGGTTCAATAGATTGTTGATTCCGACGAGGATAAGGAAACATGGTGTATGAAAGCTTGGCGAGGCACTTTGTTTTTTTACAACCTGCCAAAAGAAACAGTGGCGACTTTTTACTCAGCTGTAAATATATTTAATGAGTGTGGTAATCTTTGAAACTTTGTTACCAAAATAATGTTTGCAGTTTATAAATAACTATGCGTATGCAATAGTTTTCTTTTGTTGATCACACACACACATCAAATGTAAATATACGGATACTGATCTAACAGAAAGTTCATGTATTATTGGTCAAGTTAGTTATTGATTCTATGATGGTGAGTGAATCACCCGTATATAGTATTACATTTCATAATAGAAGTATTTGTTGTTGAATCCGTGTAAATAACCCTACCTAAAATGGTCAATTGAACCATTATACATATACTTGATTCTGGCCGAAGTCATTGCGGTTCAGTGGTCAATTGTCCGGTGAGATCGCGGTTTAAATAGCTTTACCTTGCTAAGTAAAATAACCTTAGGCCTGACCAGACGTCATAAGCTCACTGGTCAATCACTAATATTGTGGCGCGTGATTTCTGTTACACAAGTGTCCATGTCGGTGTTGTTTGTCTTTTTCAATCTCATTTGAACTTTTGAACTTCTAAAATTCGATATACTAGACAAGAATGTATTATGAAATAGTTATGCTCAAATTAAAAAAGTTTTTTTTCCATTTTTATTTCATTTTTCAATACTTGTTTTTCTTTCGTCTTATATTATAAGAAGATGGCTTTTATAACATTTACAAAGAGTGTGGCAAATTGTAGTACTGTGGTTTGAATGTAGTTAACAAATGTATATGTTTATAATATACTGATTTTATGCAAACTCATGTACTGCAAGTTACTTAACTGTAACAAATGCAGGCTTCACCACGCACATGAACATCTCGCTAACTATAAAGCAATTAAAAGAATACCTTTTTGTCCAAATTTGTGCACTATCGCCTATAGACTCATTCAAATATTATCATTATATTCTAAAAGTGCTCAAGCTACATGTTCTCGTATATTTGTAGTGATTGTTTTTGTAAAGGCAAACATGTAAGATGTTCTTCAATATATGTATCATGTCAACGTGTCAATTCTAATACTCACGAATGAGGCTTTGTCTAATGCTGGTGTATTACTTGTAAGATTGTTATTTTGTTTATATGAAAATTCTGCGGCGGTGCTAAGATTAGATTTTCTTTAAAGTACCCCCAAGTGTTTAACCTCATATTGATCTTCCGGTGTCAATCGGTGTTGTTGGGGTGTCTGTTAGTTCAAAGCTAATCCCTTAAAGACCAATAACTTTAATATGTGTAATGAATCGATAGATAAGTTCTCCAGTTTTGTAAAATTAAATCCAAAATCAATGACATTTTACTTATCATATCTTACAGAAGTACGTTAAAATCGATGCTTTCATTAAAGTCTGGTCATAGAAGATGAGGAAACATTCGAGGAAGGTTGGCTTCAATTTTTTTTTGTTATTCAAAGTTTGTCTGATACAAACAAATGAACGGAGCAAATAAGTGTCTTTACATCAGGGAAAATGAATTTTGTTTGCCGAGGTATTTAAACACTGCCCGACCTTCTAAGTGGAGGGCATTAAGAAGTACGTGGCGATTTATTCAAAAGGCAAAAGTAAGTGCTTACAGTTTAGATAAATACGGCAATTTGCGTTCCATTTATAATAACGCAAAAAATATTTAAATACATTTTTTACATGGTTTATCTAAATGACCATAATTAAACTAAATTTGTCAAAATAGTTTTTTTGACTTAAGCGGATTTTTCTTTTTCTGTCATATGAAATACTATTTTAAATCTACCGACCATAAAGAGAGCGTGCTAGCATAAACGTTTCAACGAGGGAGCAATGTCATTAGGTGAACATGGTAGACACGGTGTAGTAACATACCATGTTAATTGGTAGAGGTGTATGTCTATACACTAACATAGAAACTCTAATCCACAATTACTGTTATCTTCCTTGTTGTCCAAGTAGTGTTAGCTTCAATCTTCCTTTAGATGAAACTCATGTATAAAATTATATATAGATTAACCCATTTTTGTGTGTTTGAGGAGGAACGTTAATATAAATCTAAATACTGTATATAGGTAAACCTCTTTGTGTCATTGTTCAACAGACACCAATTTACAATGTATACTTACCCGTTCTTTAAGCTGACTAGAGATCGCACTCATGATTTTGTAAGCTAATTAAAGGAAAGTTGAGTTGATAGATTTCTCGTTATAATGCTTCGTGTACTTGTTTGTACTATGTCAACACGGGGATATGTTTGGTTAGATAGGTAGGCACTGTTTGTTCTGTAGCGAAGGCGTGTTTCAATGATTGACCATCGTAGAAAATGGGAAGTGACCAAGGACTAATATTTAAATACCCATACCTCTCCTGTCCATCTACTACGGCTACCTGTCATGGATACTTAGCTTTTGTTCAAGTACCAGAACCAAACAGGAGGACTTTCAAAGGTGTGTGTGTGTTTGAGTTGAAAGGAAACTGGAAGTTGAATCTACTGAAGAAGTACACAATTATTGTTTAAGCAAACAGTCTGCGTCAACACTTTCTATTTTAGTATTGTAAAATGCGATCGTGTGTCAAGGAACTCGACGCTTTCGATTTGTGGCGATGCGGAATTATATTTCACATCATTTTCATCTGGATTTAGTTTGCTATATTCAGATCAATAGTGAAGCGACAATAGTGAATATACAGCAGTAAAAGAGTGATACTTACTTTTCAATACCATTATCAATAATAGTATACATAGCAAGTTTTTTACGACACAACCATGAGAAAATTAGCGGAAGAGATTGTCGATAGAGGATTATATGAAGTTAACCTGACAGCTTTGTTTCTCGGAGCATTGCTTCCAGTGGAAAAGGTATTTTGGGCCTGCATACACCTCATTTGTTCTCGTACTAACGGGATCTAGCTTCAGAGACAACTGGCGTCAGATTTTCCTTCTCATCTTTCGAAAATGTCACAAAATGTATTCTTATTTACATTCTATAGACTGATAACGTAAACTCGTTTTTTTCATACAGTATCAAAAATACATTAGACTCAAACTTGATCGATTTTTAACAAAGTCAACACTTTTGTAAAGCAATTCCTTCGTTCGTTAGTTAACTTCAAACTCGGTAACCCTCATGTCTTTTACAAAAAATAACTTATTCGAGTTAGATAAACATATTAGTCAAACATCACTCGTGGGGAAACCTCTACTTCTCATTAAAGGATAACAAGAGATTTGTGGTTTGAAACATGACAGCGTAAAATTAATAGCTCTGTATTTTATATACAATACGTGTCAAACATATAGTTGTATTAATTCAAATCAAGTAAAAGATCATTTGGCATGTGACAGAAGTGTGATATCACGATATGTGTTTCGACCCATCTGAGGATATGTCATATATTTTGAGTTGCATGTCATTAGTTGAGATTTTCAAAGTTCTACTTAACATTCATTTGTGGCCGTACTTTATGTGAACTAGTATTGATTTGATACATATATTTAATAAACTGTCATAATAGTGTGGTGCAAGAAAGAGATTTTCACACGGAATACTATGAAACAATTAACATTAATGGCAAATTGACAGGGATATAGAATCTTCCGTAAACATGTTTACATAACGCTACCGCAATACTTTGAACATAAGATACCCAGCATCAAATACAATATTATATTTGGTTTTTCATCAGAGGTAGTTGAATGGATTAGCTTTTGTTCAGCTTAAAATCAAAATCTTATACCATTTATCCAAACTGATGAATAGTTTTAAGGTCTACACTTACTGTGTTTTAGAATAAGGGATAGTTTGTCGTTTTGTATGAAGTTTAATTATCTTTTACAGAGACATGTTCGTCCTTTGGTGAGGTTCCGGAGGATAGCCCGTCTAGCTTTGATATGTTGCAGACTCTGTCAACAAAGCAAGGACAGGTGGGTAACAATACACCGTTATGAAAAGTTCCCTCTCTAACGGTTATCAACTTAGATGTAAGATATAATATGTATCTAATAAGATTATATATGAAAATATTCATATATATAGAAACAATAAACGTCCATGTTACCGTAGAGATGGAATACAATCAAAACACTGAAGAAAATATCCCTGGAAGTCCGTATTATGTGCACTTTGTTTATAACGTCATTATTTTTAATGTTTTGAGTATGTGTATTAAATTCAAATCGCATGAGGAGCCCCAAGATGGGCTAAAGTACTAGCGTGATAAAGTCTCCATTTTGTTTTAATGAAAAATATTCTATTCATCAATTCTATCGGATAATACAATATACTCATTGTATACTATACAATGCTTATGATCTATTATCTGAATAAGTTCCAGCTAATGGATTAGATATTGTCAGATTTTGATTTAATATTTTAACGCGGATTCGGCATTAATTAAACAAAAATATGTAAGGATGGAAGGCAAACTAAATTACCTCGATAAAAAAATACAATTATGGCGATCTGTTATACAAGTGTATGGTTGAACTAAATTGTAATAATACTGTTTAAATACACCTGCCTCGTAGTTAGTGCGATGTCCTGTTGAAATCGATGAAACCTAGTCTTTTTGGTTAATTGAAGTTTCAATCTAGGTCACAAAAACAATTTCAGTTTTATCTTAATTAGCTACCATATCGATTGAATTCAACCTTATACATTCATTACTGAGAGTGATAAAAAGTTCCTAGCTAGCAAACGAAATGAACACTTACATAAACATCAGAGGATTTTTTCAATATAAGTAAATATACTGTTGACTTAGGTAATGTACTTTATTGATACCATTAATCTTATTGTTGCATGTCCATGATTGATCCTACCTGTCGTCCTTATTAGCCTGTTAGTATAGGATCCCCGTACCACTGCTTAAAAAAATATTGGAAACTTTTTGTTCTGGCATGACTATAGCTTTAATAAACAATTTCTGAAAAGAACCCCTATACCATGTAGGACTTTCATGAGAAATGATAAAGATGAACTTAACAACAGTGTAAACATTCAATGGGGCTAGCTGGTATTCGAACCCTGAACTTCAGACTGCTTAAACTATCGCTCTGACTGAATGAGCTACCTGGTCACTGGAATGTCCTGACCAAACTGTGCTACAGTTATATCCAAATTAAGTGAGGTTACTGTATATATCAGTACACAGAGCAGTGCGACAGGGATTTTTAAATCACTTGGTTGAAATATAATACAATGATAATTTATTATGTTGCCGTTTATCATTTTTCAGTTACGATTTGAGTGATATAATACACAACGGTACTATTACATTTAGTTGGTCAAAGTTCTTTCAGGTAGTTCTGATTTTTTTGTGTAACTAACACCTCGTGTTATTGTTCCTTTATAAGAAGTATATATGACGGTATAAGAGGTGTTATTGACAACCTTTTATAAAAAAAATCGTTAAATGATATATATGAAAACCTATAACTTAATCGAGGCTCATTTATCTGTATTTATGACTTAATGTACGTAATTATTCTTATCTAATTGGAAATCTTGTTACTTACATCTTCGGTGTCTCCCTCTCAAAAGCCGAGAAAAAATATACCAGTCGCTATCTTGACATATTTATTCAGTAGAATAAAAAACGAATCGGAATAAGTGTCAGTAATGGCCTGACACCGTCATATACATATTTAAAGTTTAATATGTCGCTCGAGTTGATTGCAGAAAAGTTAAACAAGTCACCAATACAGGTCATTTCGGTTCAAAATATGTAGGGATTTGGTTACAAATATGCCTTCATTATAAAAATATAATATGTGGTGACTGATCCGATTCAACCGGACAGAAATATAAAGAAGAAGAAAAACAAACTATCTGAAGTAAAATCGACCTTCATGTTGGCCCATCTAATTACGTAAATGTATATAGAACTCTAATCGTCATTAGGAGCTATATTAGTATTCAAAAATGAAAAACTTTTGATTACAGTATCATACAAGTTGATTTAATGGCCGTTTTACGATGTGAACACTCACAATGCTTTGATCAGTAAAATATTGCAGGTATGTAACCTTGACTTGTTGACCTACCTACATGAGAACGTTAACCACTATGACTTTAACTAAACTATGTTTCCAAATTTAGGTTCAAGACATAAAAAGCTTAAAATTAACCGGAGAAGATATCATGATGTGTTTTTTTTGTATTAGTTTAAGGGTTAATACCGAAAAAACTGTGCACTTGTGTGCATAAACTGTTTCACGGATGTATGCAAAATGCACACAGTGTTTTCGGTATATACCGTATAAACCCCCAAAAATCCTGGCTATTCCTGAAATATATATAATAACAATATTTTTTATTAAAATATTTCTATTATTCTTAATATGAATAGAGAATTACATATTCTTATCTTGTCAGCTTATATCTATACATAACTCAAATATGTATATTATAGTATATATCTAATTTTATTTATCCCCGACCACAAACATGCATACATTAGGGCGACAAGACTTATATACTAATCACTAAGTTGACGGTATTTCCATTTAAAATAAAGTACCAGGTATGCTAAGTTTGATCAACAGTTCTCAATAAACTTTCAAACTGCTCTTCGTTTTACCTCCCTAAGTTAGTTTGTGAAATAATGCGATATCGCTGACCGGGTTCTGTGTGGCCCGAAAGCGATAAGTTATATCAGATACGAGTGCTAAAAGCATGGGCAGGTTATTATTGCTGGTTTACGGTAAAATGTAATTTGTTAGGTTTTAAACATGGACAAGAGACAACCAATACCTGAAGGATATTACATGATTTGGTTTTTTCATTACTTAAGTTATAAAAACACGTACTGTCAGTGACCTAATCTTTGCAAATATTTGTTTTTGCTATTTACTTTTTATCTAAGTTGTTTAGATTTCTCGCGAATAAGTGAATACATGGTCGAATCTCCGCATGAATAAATGTGTTATAATTTTCTCTTACCCTGGTCAGGTATATTCACTCTTTACCCAGTGAGAGATATCCTTGTCTCACCCTAGGATTCTGACGGGGTAATTTCCCTTTCAAAACAATTGTATGACGGCACAATCATTCGCCACCTTGCAGTGAGATGGAGAATCTGAACCCTCGAGGAAAGATTCTTAATAACAACCCCCCCCCCCACCCCCCTCATCCCCTCGGGTTAAGATTCTCCTATAAATGCAATTCACTAGTAGGAAACTTACTAAAACCCACGGCTATGTTTACTAATAGCATTTTTAGCAGGACATAAGAACGTAACCAGGAACAGTAAATATTCTTTTTTTTCTTTTCGGAGTTTTTTCCAATTTATTTCTTTTTAACACGAAAATATTTAACAGAAGTTAAGATAAACCATTTGGTACATTTGAGTACATATTTATTGTATTTCTTTTTATGGAAAGTCATGTCAGATAAATCATTACCACTGGAGCCGTTGTCGTCAACTGAAACAGGACCAGACAAAATTGACGCGTGACTAACAAGAGTATGTTAATTTTGATTCAGATATTAGAACAAACTCATTCAAAATGCAAAGTACATGTACACCCTTAAAAGCATTACGAGTATACCCATATTTACAAATTACATAACAAGTTTCAATAGCTTTTTTTACATAAATATCACATATTTGTTCTTCCGCATTTGTCCTTGAACATACCTTCTATTCGTGTTTTTGACAAAACATTTAAATTTGGTCTTCTTTACTTTCTCGGCTTTCTATTGTCTGTTCTATTAAGTAGCTGTAATTTAAGAAATCATTTCTTGAAAAGATCCAATTCAATTTGTCAGTAGTAACTCTTACTTTTAAAGATAAGAAGCTTGATAACACTTAGACTGGTAACTTAAACACGTCGAATTGGTTATACAAACAATAACGGTTGCTTAGCGTGCTAAAGTGGTTATTCTCGCCTTGTCAATTAAAGGGGTTAGACTTTCATCAGATTGTAAAATATAAAAAAAAATAGACTTTTTAATTAGTTGTGCACAGGAATTTAAAAACGTTGGAATGTTAATTCAAATAAACTAACCTATGAACAGGTATTATACTTTCGTAGAACATTTTACAGGACAAATTTATGTATTATATCGGTCTGTCGTCGATTAACGTCAGAAATCCGGCACTCTATAATATGCGGGAAATAAGCGACCCCCGCCCGGGTCGCACTTCAAACTGATATTTTAGAAACAAATCGTCACTTTCACACACATATCGCACATGGATATCGCCTCTTATGTAACGTGTCATGGGTACAGCAGGTGTTTTATTTCCTCGAACATTCGGGTTTTTTGTTTTTTGTTTTTGTTTTGTTTAAATAGGGTTTATAATAATGTATGAAATATGTATAACACTCGTTGAATTTAAAGCAAAAGTTACTCTGAAGCACCTGATAAAGATAGATCGAAAACTAAATCATTTGAAAGGATAACAGGATGAAAAAATATTCATAGACATGCAAGGTAAAACAGTACATACTGGAATATCAATAGCTCATTTGGGATTATCAACATAAAATACAACAACTTCACTTTCTGTGTAATATGATATCAATGTTACAGCAATCGAAATGTTTGAACAACATGTCTAGAAGGTAACACCCTCTTTAATCCTTAACCTTTGAAGTATTTTTCTTAGCTTTGGACAAACATGCCTTACAAAGGACGGCGTCACATGACCTACTACGGGGTCATTGGAAATATTACTCCCACTCGTCTTATCAATAACGGTAATCAATAACGACTACTGGAAAGTTTACGATATAGTTAAAGCTAAGTGGGAAAAGTGTGAACGTAGAAAATGTTCATTGAACTTTACTATATAAAAGTGTAAGTGTCTTTGTGTAGAATTTGAGTGGTCACTTTTACCCCGATCGACCACACATTTGATATCACTATAATTATAATAAGTGCCTGTGTAATGCCGAATTCTTTAGAAGGGTTACCAATGGAACACGAGAACACTTATCTCGCTCGGGTATGATATTAAGCATAACACCAGGGTTATTCAAAGCAATTTCCAGCAAGTAACATTATTCTTTATCAATCATTGCTGAAACCGCACATTTTAAAAGAAAATATTGAACACCAGATTTTCTGTATCATTTAATAAGGTTATTTTAGAACTAGCATTTTAAGGGATGCTCAATTTAGCCTTATATGATAGGGAAGAGATGGGGTGGGTTTCATGGCATAAGCCTCTTCTAGTCTCTTAAAAAACCTTTCTTTTACCAAAATACATAAGGGAAAACGATTTTAATATGTTAGTTGAATCTTACGTCTATTTTGAAAATCTTATGGATCCGTCGCGTTATTTTGTTTCAGCTATATACATCATGCATAGGATTCGCTTATTTACGTTTTATGTTGTGGACGCATATTTAATCTTAATCATGTAACAAACTTCAATTCCGTTGATATTTAAGTAATTAGTAGCAAATATTTCTAACTCACTTATTATCATTGGAGAATGTTACATGATGCAAGTACTTAAAACACATGAAATTATGTAACAATGAACATATTGAGTAGAAAATAACAAGCACTGCTTCTGAACTTGTAGTTTATCTTTAAACTGAATGAAACTCTGACACTTACGTATAATCTCGCCAGTCTATCATCAGGAAAATGTGATTGAGTGGGTGTCATGTTACGGTACCTTATGTTAGGTCATTTCAGTGAAAAGGTACGGTAAGGTGACTACTGGAAGGTCTTCTAATATATCATCATCATTTTCAATTGACTAGCTGCTGCAAGAACGCAATAACCTCAACAAACAAACTTTGAAAGCAAATTAATTGATTTTCAATTAAGATACCATATCTTACCATACAGACTAAGTGAGTGCAAATAATCATATAGTTATTGCACATAAACATTCCATTGTTGATAGTGGGAATTTTATAATTACAGATGCAGATATTTTAACAATTGCATTTTCTTTTGCTGTACTGAGAATGGGACTTTCAATTAATTATTTAATCCAAACGGTGATATGTTTAACACTTTATACACTGTTTCTGTACTGAAAGTGAGACGTATGACTCTTATCTATACTGATTCTATACTGGCAGCGTGGATGCTTCCAAGGCGGAGTACTTGTCAGTGATACAGGTGTCCCAGGATTACGCCCAGCTGGATAGAGGCGGACTGTTCTTCGACCCTAGTGACTTCAAAGCCAACAAACAAGTAAGCAGACTGTTGTTTTTTTTGAAAATATCTATGGTGAATCAATAGTTATAAAACAACATAAACACTATGCTACCCTTAATATAAACTTTACTGACAACAAACATATAAGTATACGTCAATGCTGTTATTAAATAGTTTGATAGTAAAGTTGCAAACTATCATGAAATTAGTTTCTCATTAAAATGAATTGTCTATTAATTTTTATAACATTTAAAAAAAAAATCAACCTATAAGAAAATAGATACAGTTGAACCTCGTTATCTCGAACTCCTTTAACTCGAAGACCCCGTTTATCTCGAAGTATTTCTCCGGTCCAGGCCAAATCTCTTATTTATTTTAGTAAATAAAACTCTGATAATTCGAACCCTGAAAAGTCGAAAAACTCTGATACCTCGAAATAAGATATTGGTTTCAATAGCGTGAATATATATATAAAAATTGTTTTCGCCCTTCGTAAAGAGGGCGATTTTATCGTTAGAGTGAGCATTAGTAAACAACACGTTAAACATAGTGATCACATGTCAAGGGCGAAATTAACGTTGGGCGAACGCCAATTTTACCAGCATGTGCGAAAGTTTGACTTGGAGACCGTTCCCGGTTTATACCAGGTTGAGTGATACATACAATTTCTTTACCAGATACGAATGCCACAAGAAGCTAGGCGAATTCTGCATGATATCCCACATAAAAGAGCGAAAAGGGATATTGATTATGTAAGTAAATTAATTAATCATGTTGACACTGCCCACCATTTCAAGCAGATGATTTGTATATCGAGACGTGTGCTCACGGTTCGTGCAGTAATCACATTGAAGTATAAGGGTTGGGAAATAGATATCGGCGAAGCGTGAAAAGAAAGGAAGGAAAAAAGGATAAATGGTGACACTACGAGAGGTGTGTTCAAGGGAGGGAGTTGCATTATAAGGAAGTGTTATTGATGATCACTGTAAATATTTCTACATGTTAACAAATATTCAAATAATTCAGCATTTGTCATTAAACGAAATATCATTCATATGACAGAAAGAGAAACATCAAAAGCATAAACAAAACTGTCCATCAACATAAATGGCATAGAGGTTTAACTTTATGGAACATGAATATAAATAAGATGACAAACAAGATCAACGTATACAAGAAAGATAAGAGAAGATAATTAATATGGCGATTCTGACAATAGGTATCATATATACATGACTATGATTTCAGTAATAGAAAATTATGACCTTTTGTCTATGTATATATATATATTTATGTCTTATATTATAAACAGCTCCGTATCGTTCTAAGAGGAATCAAAGCATTTGCTGAATATCCAAAGAAGATGCAGCGACAGCTTTGTCAGGTCGGCTGGTTCGAATCGTATGTATGCTTCTCTACAGTTTCTTTTACACGCATAAAGTTAAAAGCAATTCGAGTTTTCCCTCTTGTTAATGTTTTTACCTGTAATATTTCGTCGAAGTTTAAGAGTTATGTACCCCTTCCCCGTCACCGTTGAATAGTTTCTTGTTTCTGAGGTGTATAGTTTACGTGTACACTACACCTTCTCCACCGGAGGGTGATGTTACACAAACTCTACACTGTCATAACAGAAATATGTCGTGTTCCGTCAGTGTAGATAATATATATACCATACACCCTCGCCACTGAAAGATGTCAAGATTTTCAGACATGCAAATTTCAGATATACCATTGACTGTACCACTCCATTCCCCATTAAAGGGTTTCACGTTCCTCCGGTGACGACTTCATAATTATGTTCCATTGATTTAACCACTGAAAGGTGTAATTTTCCTTCGGTGTCGAATTCATAAGTATCATACACTTCATACTTGAAATATTTCCTAAGCATCAGGTGAGTAATCAACATAGTCTCCTCACTTACATCATTGAGTAGTTTCGTGTTTTTCAGGTGAAAATGTGACATGTACCGTCATCATCATCATTGGAATCTGTCCTTTTCCTCAGTTGTATATTTTACATGTTTGTTTATTTGGAATAGCGTCCTATTAACGACCTAGCTACATGTAACATGCACTTTAAACCCTGAAAGGTGTTATGTTTCCAAGGTGTAGATTTCGAATATACCATTCACATGTTGTTGTTTTTAGCTCACCTGGCACGAAGTGCCAAGTGAGCTTATGCCATGGCGCGGCGTCCGTCGTCCGTCGTCCGTCGTCTGTCGTCCGTCGTCCGGCGTCAATATTTTACTTTAAACGACTTCTTCTGAATAACCGAAAGGCCTAAGGTGTCGATATTTGGCCAGAAGCAAACTGGGATGAAGGGCTACAAAGTTTGTTAAAATTAATGACCTTCACCCATTGTCAAGGTCACAGGGGTCAAATATGTTAAAAACTTTAAACATCTTCTTCTCGATAACCAAACTTCCCAGGGAGATGATATTTGGCCAGTAGCATGCTTGGGTGAAGGGCTAACAAGTTTGTTCAAATGGATGACCTTCAATTATATTCAAGGTCACAGGGGTCAATTGTCTTAAAAAAACCTTTTAACAACTTCTTCTGAATAACCAAAATGCCCAGGGTGATGATATTTGGCCCGTAGCATGCTGAGATGAAGGGCTACTAAGTTTGTTCAAATAAATGACCTTCACCCATATTCAATGTCACAGGGGTCAAATATGTTAAAAACTTTAAACAACTTCTTCTGAATAACCATAATGCACAGGGTGATGATATTTGGCCAGTAGCATGCTGGGGTAAAGGGCTATCAAGTTTGTTTTGAATGACCTTCACCTATATTCAAGGTCACAGGGGTCAAATATGTGAAAAACATTAAATAACTTCTTCTGAATAACCAAAATGCACAGGGTGATAATATTTGGCCACAAGCATGCTGAGATGAAGGGCAACACATTTTGTTTAAATGTATGACCTTGAATCATATTCAAGGTCACAAGGAGCAAATATGTTCAAAATATTTAAACAACTTGTTCTGAATAACCAAATGGCTCAGGATGTTGATATTTAGTCAGATCAAGGACTACTATGTTTGTTAAAGTGAATGACTTTGACTTATATTCAAGGTCACATGGGGTCAAATTTGTTTAAAATCTTTAAACGACCTCTTCTGAAAAACCATGGGTCCCAGGATGTTGATACTTTGCAAGTTGCATACTGAGATGAAAGGCTATACAATTTGTTCAACATAATGATTTTGTTCGACTTTCAAAGTAACAAAGGTGAAATGTTTTAAAATCTTTTAACAGGTTCTTTTGAATGACTTTAATCATAAATACTGATATTTTGCCTGTAGCTTTATTTTAGATCACTTTTAAGGTTACAAGTGTGAGATTTATACCAGGTGAGCGATGCAGGCCCATTGGGCCTCTTGTTTACATATACCATAAACCTTCATCACAGTAACCTGTCATTTTGGTCAGGTGTAAATGATTTATTTACGAAGGATTGACTAATAAGATTTCATACAGGATCAAACGTGATAGTCTTTCTAAATCACATTTTTATGACATCTGGTTAAATTCATTAGGCTTTTCCCCCTGACCAGGACATACCAAATTACTTAAAATGGTAGATACTATTCCCTGCGTAACGTTCCGCATTTAGTATAATGGCCACAACTGTTTTACCCCTTGCCAGTATTATGTGACCGGATGGATATTGTGCCAGGTGACTTCGGCATAGTTTTTCAGTGAGGTAACGGTAGTTATTACTTTTGTGACCGTCTTTTTTAGTGTTGTTTGACCATAAATGTCTTAACTTATCGATGGGTTGTGAAAAAAATATACAAAAACAAAGCAAAACCTGAAAACCCAATAAAACCAAACCAGCATGTCTGGCCTGTTATACGTATTGAACCTAGCAGGGTTTTACGTAATATCTTCTTTTTATATAGATCCTAATAATGTCTTCAGCTGTTTGCACATCTCTATGTGATGTTTATCTAATATGAATGTGTTTTGTCTCTTAAGGTACGAACCTCGGCGTGCGATAATTCGTCAAGGTCACCACCCACATTCGTTCTACTTCATTCTCAACGGAACAGGTAAATATGGTCTCATCTTATTTATATACTATATGTAATAAGAACGTTTATCGATTAACAAAATCACTCCATTACGGAATATTTTCGTAGTCGAGGTCATTAATCCAGGCCTGCAACAGAAAAAGATAATATTCGCCGACACTCTACTCTCAGGATGACAATTCTCAAAATGCACAAGGACCCCGATAGATCGTTATCGGCTGCCCCGCGAAGATTGCTGATGTTCTGACACAGCATTGACATCAGAGTTATCGTCCCCCAGCAAATCTCAAACTTAAGTTGTCTAGCGATGTATATGTATATGTATGAATGTATTGTGTTAAGCTTAAAGGTGAATACAGGTTCTGAAGAGACACCAATACAAAAAGGAAATTTTCCTTAACAGCCCATGCCTTTGTTTTTCTGTTTCTGCAAGCACGGCATGTGGGACCTGTTATGAAGTTTCCCGTCAAATCAGGTCATAATGTATACATAAAATTATATATAAAAAACAGGTCTATTTCGGGATACACTTGTAACCTAATTAATGTCCTGTTAAGTCAGGTTTCACTAGGATGTTTGCAACTGTATGGCATTGCCAATATATACTTCTACCAAATTCAGATGACGTTCAATTTTTCCTGTAACTGCCGTGGCTCACTCATTCGCGTCATAATGATTATGACGTCACAATTGTTGTATTACATTATACTTTTGAGTTCGCAATACTCTATTACTCTGATATGATTTGGTTGTGTAGTCAATCAGTTACACATTGCTGAAACTAATTATGAGACAATCATAGATTGAGCACGATACTAAGCAGCAAATGTTTATGGTATGTATTTGACCTCCTTATAAGAAAGGCCAATGTGACGTGCTTAAGAGATATATATGCACACGCTTGTATTCCTATGATAAGAAATAAATCAATAGAATATGTGATTATTGGCTGAAATGTCACTGCGTAATAGACACTTTTCTTTTCCGACTGTCATATCAAACAACCCTCTTCATATTCAGTTCAAAATTAATTCAAAACTTTCGAGAGTAAAGTGACCTAAACGCCCCTCGGAATATATATCTATATTTGTTTTGAAGAGCAAAGTTTGGATAAACACGCGATAACAGAGGCAAACACAGCTAATATGTATACAGGTTTTCAATTGATAGGTTAATCCATGAAATGAACGCAGATAGCAATGTTGTGAGTTGTTTGTAAATGGAAAATTTGAATGAGTGTTATTATTGGTATGTTTTCGAAAAACGTGATGAAGCTACAATGTGCAATCAATCCTAAACAATAACTCGTCAAATTAATGTTTTTAAATTTATATATTGCAGTAATTGTTACGGCATTTGACAAAGACAATGGTGGAACCAAACTATTGGTCAGTCTTCACAGGGGAATGTCTTTTGGGGTAAGTTATATTTATTACTTATCTGTTTGATTTGCAGAGTTGTCGGAATCTCCACAATTAAGAATGCGCTTAATGAAAACCAAGTAATACATTCCTTTATTTTGGCATGGTATTTCAGTAGAGCAACACTCTAAAATTGACATAAGATATGTTCTATTGCAAGGAGGCAAATTCACCAACATATCCTGTATCCAACACACAAACACACATGCATGCACAAATTGCACACATTGAGGTCAATCTTTAAATTAGCTTAGCCATTACATGTACTAAGGCCTTAAACTGAATAAAACCAAACCTTCCATATGCGTTAGTTTCTGTTTGTCTTTTGTCTGAATTAAAGCAAAATTAAGGTTGTATATGAGGTTCTGATGAAAATTGCAATACTGTCAAAGAAACAGCTAATTATGCGACAGTGCTAATTTAGCGAAAGTTGCAGTGAAGTTAGTGCACAAATTCAAGACAACAGTAAACATTTCTAATTCAAAAAATCTTTTATATTCTACAAATTCAATTAAAAGCTTCCTGCATCAGTGCAGATATAATAAAGCATTTCATCGGCTGTACATAAGCTCATACACGTAAACTCATAAGGCCAAGTACATAAACATTTACATTAGACTTGTATATAATTAACTGAATTAAGTTGTGCCAAAAAGTCATAAATGCATTACACACCCAGCTGGATGTTAAATTTGAATAAATGTAGATACCATTTTGTAGATATCATCTATATCCTGTTGAATTAATGATTATTAAAACTCATAACGTGGTGTTCTGTCTATCTATTAGTTGAAAGGCCCCTGTGCATTTAATATATTGAAATGACACGGATATACATATATCGAAATTTTAAATTGCGTCTTAATGGATATGCCGATATGATAGAATTCCAATTTTGAAATGTCACGAACTGAAAACTACTGAAAATTCATTTATTACCGAAAAACTAATTGATTGCTACTGAATGTATTTCCTCACCAAGAATAAAATATCTGATGAAGCATATCAAAGAGAAGTACCAAAGCTGTAAATAGATAAGTTATGTGCATTTCATTAATAGCTGAGATGAGCTTAACCACTCCCTTTTTGTAAATGAATTCATTTCACGAGTAAACATCAAAGATTTTTCTATAATACGCGATTGAATATTTTCAATAACGATGATGCTGTTGCACCATTAATGTCCTCTGATAAGAACAATATTAACGAGTCATCAACTTGCAATAAAACTCTGGCTTCTATGTTAGGTCGACGTATATTTGAGATTACTTTATGAACCATGGGTGTAAAACGCAATCATGTATCTAACGTTCTGTCATCATTATGTCGTTTCGATGATTTTATTGATATAATTCTTTGAAATGTATTTTTGGTATGTGTTGTGACATTGAGTTACTGCACATAATAAAATATTCGTCTGTGTCTTATTTGCGGTATTCTACAAACAAACCATTTCGTTGACACGAAGTAACGCTGTTGTCTATACCTGTATTTTGAAACATTAAGATCGTATACATATTCACTTTTTATCACACACTTTGTCGCTCATCGACTTTCCTGTTCTTAATTGCGAGGAATACAAATTGCGTGTCACCCAACGTGTATGTCTTAATATATGCCACGAAAAACTCCTCTGATTGATAATTGAATTTGTAATAGTGCTAAATTCGAATTTTCCCGAAAATAAAACCACAAAAGATATTAATATTTTACAGTATATTGTTGACATAACAATGGTGGTGCCCATAATCCATACTAATCCGACAACTGATATAAGAGTCAAATGTCACCTGTCAAGTGTCCGGAAAATTAAAGAAAATATAAGTATTAAATTGTGTTGATATGGTGTTTACCGTCTATATAAATGACACCGCTTTGCTGAGATAATTAAAATGCTAACTAATTAAATAACTAGTCACTCCCCAAAAAAAATCTCATAAGTATAAACATCAACAGGTATATCTGGCCCGAAACGGATACATTTTATTAGTATCAAAATAAACCCATTTAATACCCGCTTTAGTACGTTAGTGCGTGTTTTATGTTGATATAGGTTGATATAAGTTATAATCTTAATTCTAAGTGATCGTATGTAAACACCATCTGGCATGTAATGGATACGAAATTAATAGATACCTAGTTTTATAGCGGTTAAATGTATAGTAACGTACATGATGAAAATGTGCCAACTATGATATGTGTAACAGGAAACTAGATACCGGTGTAATCGCACGTCGAGATATCGACTTAAACTAATTTATTTTTAATGTACTCAAATCATTTAACGGATTTTAAATTCGAATAGATGTGTTAAAAGATTAGGTTATAAGCCAGATGTGTGTGTGCATGTTTTTGTGTAGAGTAGTCGTTTTATCACACTGAACTTTAGGAGGCTAGTCAGTGGGTGACAATTTCGTATTTATGTGTGCAGGAACTAGCTGTAATCTCCCAGAGTAAGAGACAGGCCACTGTCAGTACACAGACTGCCACAGAGCTGCTCTGTATATCCGGCGAGGTAGGTGTACAATATACTGATAATACAGTATCATAATACGTCATCAGTACTCATTTTATTACATACAAAGGCAGCTTGTAGTGTCACACCATTGCATATTTGTTTGATATATAACATATGTGATATAACACTTTGCGATGTGATAAGAAACATTTCAATGACGTCATAAATTCTTGATATTTGGAAAACTTGTGTTATTTTACTTTGATTTTTTTTCTGTTTAAGTAATCACAAAATACATGATTTAATATGCGTTGGTAACTGAGTATATGATAAGAGTAATCCCAAACTCATTCTCATTACATCTGATAATTTTGAAAATTGCTGAAGCTTATCTCTTATTAATCACCTGTAGTGAGAATTAGTTTGAAATCCTCTACATATTGATAGAAAATCTTCATCTTTAGTTCATTGTTATGATCATTGTTCAAAAAGAATGATGACTTCCATCATATATCAAGTATCTTTGTCTCTGTCAAAACAACTTATAACGATTTAAGTATTGGTAAAATGACAGGACAATTTGTTCAACAGGAAAATGTCTATTCTTATTACAGGACTTCGAAGAAATCTTCATGGCGGGTGGTAAAAAGACTGTGACCGACCCCGATCACAACTCCTTCATCAAGTAAGTGATTTGCTAGTACCCAAACATTCGATTGACTTTACTTTTTATTATTATTCTTTAATGTGTTTTTTTAAAGACCTTCAACTTTACTTGGGTAGGTATCAAAATACTTACCCAAGGATCAAGATCAAATATGGATTTTTAATTCGAAATACTTTACTCGTCTCATGGAACAGAATAAATGTTGATAACTATTATCTTAAGTACCTTCGTAGCAGGTGTATAACCCTTTTATTTATATTCTGAAGTCATAAAGTAAGATCTAAGTCTCTTAACTGGGTTTAATTCTCGAAATGCAATATCTACACTGAATAAACAAAACGAAAAGGCATATTGATCAAGCACTTAGACTCACGACAAAGCACATACCGTTTGCATATTTCTCTTACAGGTGTGTGTTTGTTTGTCTTGGAACGATTTGGGTGTGATATAATCCATTGTATTTTATATTAATGCATATTTAAAGTGCCTTATCACAAAACATTAGTTAGCGTGCGCTTGTAGCTGGTATTTAATTTTGGCACGGTTTACATAAAAAAACTTGTTTAAGAATAATTTTTCTGTTGATTCCAAAAGTTGTAAATCCTTAGTAATATCAGAATGGTTTTTATTAACACATTTCGCGTTTCAATGTATGTTTTTTTGGCCAGATTGCAAAAAACTTGCATGGCTTATGTATCTGAGGATGCTTATCACGTGCGACGCTTCGGATGCTGCATCTGACCTACATTTTTCACTTGACTGACCAGGTTAAGAAGATTGGTTAGGTCACTTACCAAGTAACTACTTGTTCTACATCAACTAAACTTGCATGGCTTATGCATCTAAGGATGCTTATCACATGCGATGCTTCGGATGCTGGTTATAACCCACATTTTCCGCTTTAGTGACCAGGTTAAGAAGATTGGTTAAGGTCAGTTACTAAGTAACCAATTGTAGTACATCTAAACTTGCATGGTTTATGTGTCTTATAATAAGCATATCTCATCAGATGCTTTACATGAAAATGTACCGTAGCAACCCGGCCATATCGCCATTGGCGATTTCTTGTTTAAGGTTCAAATTATATTGTATTCCCCCATCACTGTTTTAGGAGTGATGCCAGGTTTGGGGTGCCCCAGGTTCATCCCTCTTACATAATATAACCTCATGCAGGAGGCCTCTTTTCCTTCATTCTCTCGTCCCTTTCATTTTCTCTCTCAAACTACCAATCATTCACTCTTTCGTTCTCATTCATTCCAATTATATTAAATTTGATACAGAAATCATTCCTTCTATTCATATTTAAATACTAAACATTCATATTTATAAATTCATTTACATGCCAAACAAAATTTCTGCTTTATTGACTTGGTATTGCTATATTTTCCTCAAATTCAGACCAGATAAACCGAATTCATGTTACTGAAAATGATGTTGTTTTTCTTGAGTAATTTGGATTTACTCAAAAAGAATGTCTGGGGAAATAAAAAATGTTCCAATAGGAATGTACTTACCAATTTAAACATATGTACACAGACACATAAACATAAACACTGTAGTCTACATACGTTTCTGAACATTGCTTTTCATTCGTTTGTCATTTAACACCATCTTTGAGTCTTCAATGGACAAAATGGCCAAATAGTGCAGTAAAATGTTTGCATTGTTTGGCAAATAAAACTTTAAATAGATGCTTCCTTGCTTCATATATCTTGTGATTGTTTCAACAATAGTGGTTCATGTGTTAATTAGAAAGTGTGAAATATCATCACTACTGTAATTTTCACACCTTCTACTATAACATCGTACACTACCGTATTTACTCCCGATCGGAAAGGTTAAATCAAGCGTTTATGAAAGCGAGGTTTCTTTATATTACAAACTGATGAGAGGAGCCGGATACCTACTTATTGGGATCGATTATGGTTCATAATTATGAGAATATTTTCAAGTATAATGTACTCGCTTGATCTGTTTGAGAACATACTCATTTATTAGATATAAATCATACTTATGGATTTTCAATATACGACACAATTATACATACAATGTATTGTTAGCATGACGTCAAACTCGTAAAACTATAAAAATATCAATATCCTATCCTCAGCGGCGAAACCGTTTTTTAACTGATCACCATAAGGATAAGAATGTATTCGAATTTCATCCTTACCAGGTTAAGAAAGGTTTCCATACCAAATATTGGTGTATTCTTTACAGGCATCGAATAAATGTTTGAGGGAGTGTGCTATTATAGATTTTAAGGTACTTAAGATTGAACCTTCCTTGAACTGTTGTTGATGGTTTAAAGATAGCTTATAACAGATACACAACTACAAGCCTTGTGTATCGAGTTAAAACGAATCGACTTTTAAAATTTAATTGTCACGTTATTAATATACTACATGAATAGGTCGACATTCATTGATCATCTTTATTGACAAATATCACTTAAAGTATGTATGGGGTCTCGATACATTTCGTCAGTAATTGAAATTCGAAACATTTTCAAGTAAAACAAGTAAACGCCTGTGTATACATTAGCGTGTTAAACTGACTCCCCAATACGTAGAGTAGTTAGACTGGTACACAGTCAATACACTATCGGCGTGTCTCTTTTTAACTCTAGATAACAGATTCAAATCCTGAACGTATCATTAATAGAGAATTATTAGATAATAGTTTTTTTGTTTAACGAATAAAAACAACAGTAATAATATTTTATATTTTCACCTCACACAATTGTGAGAGACTGTTTCAATATTTATAATATCGGTTTTGTTTTTGTTAAGTGATGATCTTTAAAAAGTTTCACAGATATCCACACAAATATTTCAGTGTGTTTGGTGACTGTGTTGATGTCGATTTCATACGATGGGACTAGGTAGATGTCAATAACATTCGATGGGACTAGGTAGATGTCGATTTCATACGATGGGACTAGGTAGATGTCGATTTCATACGAAGGGACTATGTAGATTTCTATTTTATACAGGAGAACATATAGATAGTGATTTCATATAAGTTGTTACTGATGGGGAAAGGAAAAACGATGACACCTATATATGAAAACTTTTTTTCAAAACCTTTTCGATGACTGATGCCTTTTCTTTTTTTCGTTGTCTCATTCAACTTTAAAAGGGCTCAGTAAAATAGAACGATTTATACAGATTTTTGATCTATTGATATTTCATTACATTGTTACTATATTCATTTCACCAATTGTATTTTGTTACTAAGACTCTTACAAAAACTAATATCTTCCTTAACATTTTCTTAACTTCTGCTTATCAATATTTGTATATTGATTCATAGAAGAACATATCTTAACTAAGACACATATCGAGTGAAGCATATTGAAAACAGTAATAAATAAGCCCTTTACCACTATACCTAAGTAACATTTATTGAACTGTAGCATTTATTAAACAAGATGTACTAACTAGGGTACGGTATTGATTGCAGGTGCCATATTTATACATTGTCTCAATTATTTTTATCAGTAAGAGCAAAAACATATTCGATGTTCTTTTTCAAAATTGTGTTACTAAATTGATTTGGGGAAATTATGTGAAATTCGACTTTTCGTATAAATCAGTGAAAAGCGGAGTAAATAACGTTTAATTCTAATCATGTGACAGAATATAATCAATCTTTACATACACCGACACAGGTAGCATTGATTAGGCCATAGGTACTCGCCAGGTAGCATCGAATAGGCCACGGGGGACTGCGGTAAATTTCTTTATCTAGTATTTTAACGCTACATGCGTCTTGTGTTTGACTACAGCTTACCATTAAGGGGAATGCCAACAGTCGGAATCATGTGTAAACGTTACAGATACGGAAAAGAAATATACACTTAATCACCAGGTGAAAACTGACTGAGGTATTGTTACACCTGTCACCAGCGCAGGGAGACTGTCCAGGTAACGCTAAATCAATACGCCCCTTTCGTATGGTCTGATCAATGTATCGACTTGCAGTTTTAGTGTATACGGGGACACCCAACGATATATCACTACACGCATGATGTCCTCGTTAGCCTTCATTGACAAATTCAACTTTTTTTCTTTGCTCTTGGATCTGTTCTTGAGCGTTAGTCCGTGAGAACGATATCCCGGTTCGAGTGACCGCCTTTGTGTATGTGATCGATGCGAAACTATGCACGAACTTATCAATTTCATATAGTTTATCATGAAAATGAAACATTAGAGACAAAAGGCTTGTCAACATTGTAACACAGTTTGATCGGCAGACCGTACGGGCGTACCAACTGATACCGTCTATCGGAATGTTAGGGGACCGTTCAGAGGACCGTTCCTAATGTCTACAGGAATTTATAAGCCAGGCGTGAACATAAAGTAGTTAGAACTGATGTACTGGGAGTTATTCAATGCGTTTTCGTCATTTACAGTTTCCATATTGATATATGTGAAATTGAAGTGCGTTTCCCAATTGACCATTTGAAAATTTTGCTGAGGAACAGTCGAGTGCGGTTGATAGAACTGGTGACAATGCCAGCATCGAAACTGAAAGATGCTTTAACCTTTATTCATTCCAGGAACATACGGTTTCTGAAGAATTGGCCTGTGCATCTTCTTGCCCAAAACCCGAATGCATGCATGTTCCATTATTTCAAGTAAGTATATAATGAATGTACATCCATATGCATGTTCTTTGATGAAAAATTAATGAATGAGTATAATATCTATTAAAATTATACACATGTCCTTGCTTTCAAAATAATCACTTTTAGATTATACACACATAGAACTTGTTTGCCTATATTTCAATAACTGAATAAATAAAAAGAGAATTGAAAGTATTGAATCAATGAACCACAGGGGTATATGTTCCTGGCCCCAGTTTCACGAAATTTATCAACCATACGAACGTTCATAATTGATATATTCTTCAACTTCGTGCTTTTTCTCAAATGTTTTTCAGTAGAGAATGACAACTTAACACAGCTTTATAAACATCTTATTGTTTCAATAAACCTTTGAGGCAAGAGACATTTGATATAAACCCAGGTATAAAAATTGAGAGCGCTCTTGAAAATAAGAATTCTTTTGATTCTGGTGTCTATTTTGACTTGGTTAATCGTTTTATTTATATATTTCTTCGAAATTGCCAAATGGGTAACTTCAGGTATAATTGACCAGGATGTCATATTCCATCAAATTGAATATATCTATCTATATATATGATTCAATGAGTATACAGTTTTTTTTAGTTTATAGAGCGTAACATACATGAATTTATTACATTTTTGCCAGTGAAATATCACTTTTTGATATTGACCAATCATAACGGTATCTTCTATTCGCTGCATTCAAAGGCAACGATTTTTTGTTCAGATTCAAACGAAGCGACGGTAGAATAAGTGGTTGTTATGGTAAATGTTTGGTACACACACTTAAGTGTTTACAAAAATATACAATTTATAACATTTTTATAAGCAATAAAACCAGAAAATAGCAGAAAACGTCGGAATTGCGTTGAGTATCCCATTCAAAATGGCGCGCAGCCTTGTTGTCAAGTATGACGTCATTAGGATATTGCACTAATTATTACGCTCCTGATTCCCGCCCTTTTTCAATGCATTACATTTTTTCATGTTTTATGCTTTAAAAATCTAATAAATAGAAAATTTAATGATGTCTTCAGTAATAACAAATATATATCACTCGTGTGGCTAATATTTTGATATTTTTTACTCGTGCTGCGCACTCGTGTAAAATATCAAAATATTAGCCATACTTGTGAAATATATTTGTTATTACTGACCACACCATTAAATATCCTCTATACACCTTTGTATATTCTTGTATAAGTTGTTGTCAGTCCTTTTTTCTATTTTCTAACATGTACGAATGATACCACATCTAAAAGAATTTGGAGATGATAACTGTTCAAAGCCTGGTTATCTTGCTACATAGTTAACATAAAACAGCATAGTATATTAGGAGAAAGATAAATGAAATTATCAACTTCAGTTGCAAGTGGATGGATTAAAAAGTATCATCTCAATGCAAGCAACACAGAAATATTTTTGCATTCTAAACTTTCTCCGTGATATCGATTTCAGAATTGAAGGTTACACCTTTCTAATCTACTTTGACAAACAACTCCTCGAATTTCAAGATTAGCTCTTAAGTTAAAAGTGAACTAAATCCAACCGCCAAATTGATATCCCAGAACCGGAAAAATCAAATTTATTAAATATTGCCGAATGTGTAAACGTTCTGCGACCCTTTAAAATAAAAAACAGAATGAGCCTGTACATGTTTCACGATTGGTTTCAGTATAATACATTAACCCTGGACGATGGAGACAAACACATATGATATAATTTATCATTGGCATGATTTGACCATATTTATAGTGATGAGCGAACGAATTAAGGTGTTAAATCGATTATTATGCATAACAATTTTATATTCACATTTAGTGGTAATTAGCTGTGGTTCCGTGGAACGAACTTTTCTCTGGAAAAGCTTTAATGCGCTGAATCTTTATAATGTCAAGTGTCCTCCATATGACATTTCATTTTTTTTTTTAATTCTAACTTAAGATTGCTATTTGACGAGCTCCATTTCCCATAGCTTGCGACTTTGACCTTTGGCTAGCTTGTGATATCGAATGACGCCGTATGTTTGGACATTCAAATTTCAGTTTGAGCAGGCTCAAATGGGTTTGTGATATTTGGATGTTTGATTAACCAAACTTCATACAAACCAAAGTTTTTTTAATACATTTAAGCAATTTATAATTTTCATCCATTTCTGCACGTCATGATACAGTCATGTATGAACCATGTGAGTTGCTTTGTTCTACAGAAACAACCAAATGGTTTCTTTGCATTAGAACAGACATTATTTTCAAATCTGACAACCTCGGAAATATTGATTTGATACATTTCCCGCAAATGTTGTTGTTTGCTTTTTAATTTCAATAAACAAGCTGCAAAGGAGAGAAATGAAAATGAAATGTTACAGTGTTAAGTTTTAAATAGCTGCTGATTTTTGTTGTCAATTAGTAAAAGCCACAAAAGGAATTCATAACAAAAAAAGACATTATTTTCATAAGAGAAATATGCAGATTATTTATACTAGATATACGAAGGGGAAACCTTTGTAGTCACACACTTCCGGTGAATATATTGATCAAAAAAATCCCAACTTTTTGTTTAACAAGTATGACAATATCGACTTTAAACATTTTGGAGTCAATATTTCCCCGTGTGCATATTTGCTAAACAGTAAGTTGTTAGCTATGTTAAATTGTTGATCACATTTCTATATGTTCAACCAGAGGTACATATCGATTGAAACGTTTAGACAGTATGCTTTAAATTAATCCATAAGTATACAACTTATTTAACGATATTGTATAGAAGTTACATTTAAAAGCTTAACGATACATTTATAGGTTCTGTCCTTGACATATCCCCCCCCCCCCCCCCCGATATATTTTGAATTATTTGGAATACAGCCAAGGAGTGAAAAAATGACTTCGAATGCAAATCCATATGTATCACTTAAACAGTATGAACTTTTCCTTTGACGTCATTTGAACAAGCGATAACAAAGCTTGCCTAAAAGTTTTTCTTTTTCTTTCAATTATTAACCTTCAAGTAGGCACAATCAATACACTACTTAGGTCTCATTTTCCTAAAGTTTGGCGGAAATGGCTATATATAATATTCAATTACAACAAGCTAAGAACTTCACCATTATTTTATATATGAAATAGTATCCAATAAAATAATTCATTTTCAAATAGACGAAGCTTCTGAAAGCGTTTTGTGAATCCCTGAGTGTTTAAATTTATTCAATAATCATTATGTAGTTAAGCATGGTTTACCCCAAAAAGCAAGAGTCAGATAACTCTCGAAAACTAAGAGACAGATAGAAAATCATTTTTATAATTTTCCTTATAAAACTCAAACATTTAGCTAACTTGAAGCCGGACATCTATCTAACCCAAAATTGTATTGCGTTTACTGTTAATAATTTGCACGTCGTAAATTTACTATGTATGATTTGATAATTGAGTTTGTCCCATTATTCACTGTTAAAGCCTGATATAACACATTGCATTGAAGATAAGAAGACAAGCTTAACTATCCTTGTTAAAAAATGAGTTGGAAACCGTTTGAAATTTATCGTCTCAATCTTTATTCTTTCTCTCGATCAATCACAGTTCTTACCATAACTTATCATTTTTAGTTTACAGTTCAGTAACTCAAGTAACACTACAGACCATATGACAAAACCCCTTAATTTCAATACTGCCCGCAGTTGCATTTTTACACCTTAACGAAAACAACACTACTCGGAATCAAATCTTGTTGTGTGCTCGCATATGTGCACTGGACGCGCGTTTCTTAATGTTATCAGTTATAACTCCTGGTTTGTTTTTAGAATAAATACTTGCTGGTGTGTCTCTTTGCTTAGACCCGGAGCCATCACTAATAGACTTGGTTTAGCACTAACATATAATAACGTGGTACGTTAACTAGACACCCTTTATATGAAACGCATTTGCATTTAATAGAGCATTCTTCCCTGCCCAATTTCCTTTTACGTCGTTAATAAGACATATAAGACACAAAACACTATGCATATATAGGGTATATCACAGACAATGCGACATTGAATCAGCAAATAGTTACCTTGGAACTCATGGAATGTTAATTAAAATGATCACATTTCATCTTTACAGAAGAATTCATCGTTGTCAAATGAATCACGATTAAGCGCCTGACCACTTTGTGTGTTTTTATTCTTAGACATCTAGACTGGCGGTGATTGACTTAATACGAGACGTGTGTATATAGTGTCTAAGAGTTTACACAGAAAGTCAATATCAAAACTTCCCTAAATATGCAGATGAGTGTAGCAGGTGTCATTTTAGGTCCTCTTAATAATTTTCCCACTGGTTCACGTTGAGTTCTCTTCTACTTCGTCAAAGCCACAGTGTCTTTTATCCAGACATTTCGTTTTTTATTAAGTGTCAGGAATGAATCAAGATCATCGAGCGATGTTGAATATATTTCAAATCATCAGTCATTTGTTACTTGCGTATTTTATTGTCTTCGCAACTAAGTCAAACACTTAATTCTCATTTTTGAGGACATGTCTGAAGATTAACATTAACATCTAGATGTACAACATGGTTATATTTCTAAACATTTTCTTCAGGTTGATAAGTATGGATTATGAAAAGTACTTTTTACACAACCGATAAGAGTTTCTATGTGACGTTTCGATGACTAGTACGGTATGAACACTGTCACCTTTATCAGACAAATGACCAGTGAAACGTATGCACACAAAGGTGTAAAATGTGTACGAGTTGTCCGCAATATCGATGTCGATTTGGCTACGCTATAAGCGTATGTACAATAATTGTTAATATATGTACCGAAATGACTCGATTCAGCTACGCTTGGTTGTTGTTAAAAATTCATGGAAAGATGCCTTATCTACCGTACCCTGTATCATTTAAACAAATAAAATAATGATTTCCTGCATTTGCTTAGCGATACAACATGATAGGTGTTCACTGTATAAAGGATATTTATTTTATGCAAAAAAATACCAGTCCACTTCAGATTAAATGTCACGAAAAATGTTTTATTATTATTAAATTTAATAGAATTCCCCGTGTTTAGTTTATCTTGATTGATGTAAAGATGTGATTTCCTATTAAAAATTTGATTTATTATCAATGATTTAAAACACAGGAGAGTGTGTTAAACGAATCAATTTTTTGTAGAAATGGAGGTGTTATGTCATAGTATCGAAATTGTTTTCACTCTGAGTTATTTTCTTAAACTCAAATGAGTTCATACATGTAATTTAGAAGGTTAATAGATATTTACAATGGGGTAATGTAAGTTAGACGATGATATATCATATAGCCTATTAAGTAATATAGTTAGCTTGTTCCTCAAAATGGAAATGTCAGGATGTGTCTTGAACTATAAGAGTGCATGAATATGATAACGTAACGAAATTGCTGGTTCAAATTACGTTTTTACCTGAGCTGTCGCAATGTTCGTATATATTCGATACCCTACCAAAGATACTCATCTTTAGACGTTTTGTTGTCTTCATTAAGCCAAAGAGGTATACACAAGTTCAAATTTCACTCTTTTTGTATTCTGTGACTTAACTAACAAATGATTTACCTATTACAATCTTGTAATTACCTGTAGCATCATTTAAACATTTGAGTATATAGCAGCACTTTCAATACATCGTGAACGTTTGTCTTTCATTCGGGCTTCACATTTGTAGGAATTATTTGTGAAATTGGTAAATAAAATGAATATCAATAAATTGAATTAAAAAAGAGAAACATAATTTCAAAATTTCAAAAGGAGTTATACTTCGGAAATATTCGATAACATTTAATAAGACATTGTCAATTTGACCATAATCAAGTTAGAGAATGTTGACTGACAAACGAGATCAGTATACATGTATAATTTACTATATGTTATTACCAAATATTTTAGCTAATAACTTTAATATTTGTAGTTAAAAACTAGTGACAACTGTCTAGATTCATAAATACATACATTGCAAAGGCTACAAAATGACTTTTTTGGTAGGTTTAGTGGCATGTTGGAGTGTCACAGCGCAAAGAAGTTGACAACCGGAAGTTTATAAGCAAAACCGGTGACCCAAAACAGAAACGCCCCCAGACATTTTGCCCCTGTGCAAATCCGCACACAGACATGGAAATATATCAATAGTATATATTTGTCAAAAGTTAAATACCTGAACATTTCATTTATCTAAAAATCTGTCATCAGTTCATTACTAAACTCCTTCAGTGACCCAGTAATTAGCCGGAACTTATTTCAAATAGGAACTACAAACGTATGAAACACTTACTGATTGGCTGATTTAGTTGTGTGAGACCTTAAAGGAAAACTTTACATCTTAAAATGTTGAAATGAAGTCAGTTTTTGAAAGTATATACATAACCGAGTAAAATTGTTAAGTTTGGTGGAAATAAAATGATAAGTTATGAAGAAAAACCAAGTTATAGCCCATGTAAACATGTGCTATTCAGAGTCAGCACCAAACAATTTTCATTTCACTTACTTAACATTAACCTCTAGCACACCAATTTAGCACACACTCAGCAATTTCATATTTTGCACACACATTTATTACCCATACTACTCACATATTTTTGAAAAGACATCTTGATGACTCTGTTTCTGTAATTTTTACAGTATCTTAAGTAATCATATACTTATTTTTGAGTAAATTTGATAGAATTTGGACAATTTAACACACTTAGAATTCACACAAAACTCCAAAATTCTACACAAAACATGAGTCATAAAAGGTTATCAGATATCCATCTCAACTGATCAGCTATCAATTATACAGACTTACATATAGCACTTCTTGCTCCCTGGGGTGCCGGCACTTTACAGGTAGAATATTGGGGGTAGGGGAGATGTAATTCTATAAACAGTTAATTATCTGAGTAAACATACAACAAAAACACATTAAATCAATAAACAGGATGTTGGTGAAGGTATATAGTATGACAGGAATAACCATAAATCTACAATTCACTAAATAAATTGGAATTTAAGTTGGATTTAGCCAAAATACCTATATGTGACACATACACATACAGATACTCACATGTGCAACTTTTGTAAAAGCTTGTTCTGTGGTGCTGAGGGGCTACTTGCTGTTCATAGTCTTGTTGCGCACGGTATAACTGTTATGTAGAGACATTCAACCTATGACAAAATAAAAAATTCAAAAACCATAAGACTCAACAAAAAACATGTTTAAATCTGGAGGGTCTGAATATGAAACTATGACAGTACAACTTCAGTCAGAAGCCAGCTAACAACTATCATACACTTGGAATTACCACATTTATTATACCGTACAATAAAATGGTGTTTAATGCTGAATTGTGCTTTAAAAAGTGTGAATAATATGCTATGTAACTTGTGCTAAAATCTGTAGTGTACTTTTACACATGGGGGTATGCTGAAACAGGTTATTTAAGATTCAATTTGAAACTTTTTAGAATTATTGAGTCTTTAAACTTGAATTTAATCATTGCTTTCTTTTAAATATAGAAATAAATGTAATTTGAATGAGGGAAGTGGCCTAAGAATGGCTGAGAAGAGGTGGTTGGACATGGAGGGGGAGGGGGGTGAAAATTGTGCAGGACAGCACACTATATTTCTGTTCTATGAAGATTTAGGTGCTAAAAGCTAGTACACAAATCATAATAGTACTATTGAAACACATGCAGATAAATTATTTCAGTACATTGAACACAATCCAAATAAAAACCTGAGTATTAGGGTCAGTCCAACTATACTGGCTTTAGCACAGAGCCATATTTAGCCCAGATTTAACCCAATTATTAAGTTTTATCAAGTTATATATATATTCACATACTGAACAAAATGTGCTAAGACCCAATAACAGTGGCTGTATCTAAAAAAAGTGTCTGGAAACACACAGAAAATGTGTGAGAGGTCAGGTTCATTGAGCACATGGCTATTTACCTTAAAGGACTCTCACAACTAAATAATTTACTATATGTTATTACCAAACATTTTAGCTGATAACTTTAATATTTGATGTTCAAAACTAGTGACAACTGTCTAGATTCATAAATACATACCTTGCAAAGTCTACAAAATGACTTTTTTGGTAGGTTTAGTGGCATATTGGAGTGTCACAGCGCCAAGAAGTTGACAACCGGAAGTTTACAAGCAAAACCGGTGACCCAAAACAGAAACGTCGCCAGACATTTTGCCCCTGTGCAAATCCGCACACAGACATGGAAATATATCAAAAGTATATAATTTTCAAAAGTTAAATACCTGAACATTTCATTTATCTAAAAAACATTCATCAGTTCCTTACTAAACTCCTTCAGTGACCCAGTAATTAGCCGGACTTTATTTCAAATAGAAACTACAAACGTATGAAACACTTGCTGATTGGCTGATTTAGTTGTGTGAGTCCTTAAATACGCCATTGTTACTGTTTGTATGTATGTTTATGACTAGCAAAACAGACTGGATTAATGACGATGCTATAACTTGAAGGTCAACAGAGTTTCAAATATCATTTAACTACATTCCTTAATTGACATGAAACATTATGTGCCAAATGTGATTTATGTAAAACTTACCATTCTGGATCGACTGGTTGTTCTCCGGTTCCTTTTGCGGAGTCAATGATGCCTTTCTTTTGTTTTGTTGTCTACTGTATTCCTGTTGTTAGTGTTCCATTCCAACTTTGTCCTTGTGTGTTGACGCGTTTGTATATTTTGTCTATATTTTACTTAATACATATCCATATTCGGGTGTCATTTTCTTGACAGGGACACTATTAGAATACTGTAAAGTAAAAAGCTATCTCATGACCATGTGAAATAAATATTTAATTGCTGTTTCGATTTTATTTCTAGCCGAGGCCAAGTGCTGGTCCGTGACAGTAATCAATCTGAGTGGATTTACATAGTTAAATCGGTAAGTGAAACGAAATCATCGCTAATGTGACTATACTGTTTAACTAAATTCCTCAGTTTCTTCGGTTTCTGCAATTCAAAATTTCTGTTAAATTTGAGACGCGACGTTGTTTGTGTGTATAAGCGCCCAGGTATTTTTATTTATTTTGTATGAAACTGAATAGACGAAAGAAAACATGTATTTCGTCATTATAATAAGATCTAACCATATACATGGAGGTCCAAATAAGTAACATATTGTTTAAATTCTTTTAACAGGCCGAATTTTAATGTGGTATCATGTTTAGTGGTAAATTCTTCGGGAAACTTTTAATGAAATTATTACGCATTTCTTCTTTTCTACAGGGAAGCTTATCAGTATTAAAGAAACTAAAAGAGGTTTTGCCACAAACGGAAGAGGAAATCTTGTTATCAAATCCTAGTAAGTTGGGGGTATTGTATATTTCTATAGTGTTGCAACTCACTTTTGTTTATGGCAATGGTTGTCTTTATTTAAATATCTACGTCGTATTATAGCCAAAGGAATGCCAATTCGATAAAATAGAAATATAAAGAACAACTGATTTCTTCCCGTTCCCTGTGGTCTTTTCATATTTGTTGTGGGCTCTAGATTAGCTTCTGTTTATTGATGATATGGTGTGGAATATATAATTACTAAGGATCATTCAAGTATCTTGCCACATGAATCCCGTAAGTCATACGTCTGTAAGACATGAATGAACCTAAGTAGTTTTGACATCTGCCATGACAAATTCATTTTTCTCCAAGTGCTGTTTCAAATTTTCATTCTAGATTTTAAAAAGAAAAAAGATAAAAAGCGAAAACCATACGGCACATGGCAGCGGCGATCTCACCAAAAGAGGCAGCGAAGTGTCACGTTATCTTCCCGGGAATCGGGATCAGAATCTACAAAGTCCTGGAAGGAATGGGAGTCGGAACCGGAAGTGTACAAATCTCAATACGAAATGGAGAGGCGATTGGTAGGTTTCAACCTCAGTCAATGTATTTTTGAAAGTCGGACCCGGAAGTGTACAAATCTCACTACCAAATGAAGAGGCAATTCGAAGGTTTTTAATCTCAAAGTTAATTTTTTCCTTTTTTTTTAAATCCATTTCATTTCATAGTAAAGATGTATATCTTTCTATAGTAATTGTGTTAGTTCAGTTAGTTTAATCATACATTTATAGCACCGTTACTTGTATAACTTTTGTGACCTTCTTTCAAAAAGGCAGTTAAATATCCGGAATAAGATTCATCAGTTTGGTATAAAAAAATAAAGGCAAAATTTATGTTCATGTTTTAAACACAAACTTAGCCTGTATTGGTAGTTAAATGTGTTATAAGCTAATACCAACATTCCGTAGACTTCAAAGTAATTTTGTGAATTATAGGAACGGAGTTTGCCTGGTTTGAACAACCCCAGCGAAAGACTGGGCGTCCTTAACTACGACTCAATCATTGACACGCACAAGGCCAGGATTGCTGGCAGCAAGCGTTCTGGCGAAGACGACGACGGTTTCAAATTACCTCCCTTGCCAAATGAAGATGTACTCTCTAAAGACAATTACAATAAAGATGAAGAGAAATCTGAGATCAGTAGTCAAAGGGTCCGGCTACCAGATATACGTAAAACATCAAAGGTATTTTAACATTCGCATTGTATGGTTATTTGTGGAGGTTTTCAATGCATTTGGTATGAAATTCGACCTCCAAGTTTATTACTGTTTGTTTTTAAAAGTGTTATTCTACGTTACATTTAACCTTATATTAAAGAGCACACAATAACGTCGTGAGTTCGATATTCAACATTGATTTTAACACACTCGGTCGGTTACAGGTAAGGTAATCGAGTTCTTATACTTAGGAAGTATGTATATTTATCTGTATATTTATCGCAAAGATGTTATGTGTGTTCCATGAAGAGAACCCAAGAGCGTAGTAAGTATCGCCAATTTGGTTTTATAGGAATCAACGTCCTATTAACAGCTATGATTATCATGCCTGCACGAGGGAAATAGTATGATCTTCCGGAGACAACTTTTGAAATTTACATTTTACCCTTACAACAAACTGTTTATTATTACGAAAAAGAGGTAACTTGAAAACAAAGTTACAATTCCCAGGTTTCTATTATATCTGGGGCCTGTTCGTTTATTTAAAGTAACGGTTTCGGGTATAAATCATTGTAAGTGTTTACACAGGCCTTGCAAGGATGTGTGAAGGCTCGCCTGAAAGCAGCATCATATTACTTATTCCGACTTTAATTCATAAACCAACCGGTTCAACCATTTGGATCGCGATTACGAAAGCGGCCCTTTTAAAGAAATGAATACGTGACAATTCTCCAAAGGGCGGGTCGAAGTAAAATGAAACTATAGCCGTCCACATGTGGCACAGCAGATCAGTAATGTTTTCTTTAGATGTCCTCTAAGCAGAAATGTACGCACAACAGCCATATTCTTTTCCCGAACCAGGAGAGATACTAAAAAGGCTGATAATGTTCGCGCGATCCATTATTTATATGTAAGAGATTGCAGTATGACTAACATAAAAATGAACTGATGTCGCAGTATGATTACAGCATGTTTTGAAAGGAAACAGAGGTCATGGCTGCTTAAGAATTTATTTTGTGTAGATATAGATCCCCGCTTAAAACATTCATCTGTCGATGATTTCAAGTATTTTTAGTTATGTGTATAAATGAGGGACCGTTTTATTGTGTAACGGAGGATTCCATAAAACATTCAAGAATTACAATTCTTTCCTGAAAAAAAGGCGAAAAAATATCTGATTGTAGAAAGATATGACATTTTCAGGATATTTGTCCTTAATATATATGTACCGCTATGTTGTTTTATCTTAATTTTCAAACTTTTCCTAAGATACAATGATAAAATACGCGATAAAGGTTGATTCGATATCTTAATGTTTTACATATCCTGTAACCGATTGTTTGAACATGCATTAATGCTACACACATAACTGTCAAATGTAGAAAATCAAAACGGCTTCAGGATTGTTTAGAAATATACAGATATATTGTATGCGTAACATAATTTGCTGTAGGTATGTTCGTTGGTATAAAAGGTAATAAATGCATATGGTACATTTCTCTATGGTTAGATATTATATGTACATTAATTCTATCTCTTTTATGACAACAGGGAGCATATTTATCTTCTGGTAAGCCTAATAGAAAAATCAGTAAGAAGGAACACGATCAAAATATTCAAAAAGAAATTCAGAAGAGAGAGCAAGGTATTTATTAATCAAGTGATATTCTTGAATATGCTTATTCAAACTGCAAAATATTTATTAGTTTTAGGTAATTGTTAGAAAAGCCGAAATGAAATTACATATTTTTTTCCACCATTGAATTGTCTTGAATAGCGACTGCTTCAGTATGCTTGACCTGAATAATGTTATCTTACATAATCCGAAAAGCTATTCAAATAATTGTCTATGTTGTTTATATTAAATTTGATGTGATTGCGAATGGGAACTGCCCCACTAATTATCTACGCAATTTCATGCTACCTAAAAAATGATAGTAATGTGAAGTCAACAAGCATAAATAAAATCTTATCGTCAACTATTTTTTTTCAGAATTATGGATGAAGAAAGCAACTCAGGAAGAAGGCAGGAAAACGATAGCGGAGGAGTTTGATAACAAGCCACCAACAGATTATAAACTCACAGAGGCTGATCTTCATCCCATGTTTATTCTAGTCAAAGTCCTGGAAAGGGGGCAATACTTCGTAAGTCCATGTTAACTGAGGGTCGGTTTGTAGGAGTTATATCCCTTTAAACTGTATTCAAACTGTTAGACTGTGTAACGAGTGGTTGGTTTTGATATATTGGGTTCATCATTGATAGGATAACATTTCCTCTATTAGAAACTTCAATAGGAAAAGTCTTTGAAAATAACTAAATTAAACTTCTTTTTTAAAAAGCGAGTGATTTACGATTGTGTCCTATAAATGGCAAAACTCGCCAACTATTAACAAGATAGGTAGTGGTATGGTCAGGAAAAGGGGATTTTATATTTTCAAATAGTTTAAGATAGTTCAATGCACGGTTTTTGGTCACTGGAGCTTTTTGCAAAAAACAAATTGCGTTTTGGATATTTCTGATTTTTTTCTTTTTCAAATGTGTTCTGAAGTTTCCATAAGTGTAAGGGGGGAACTCGAATTCAGAAGGTTGTTAAACTTAAGGATAAGAGTGCCACTGCATAGGTTAAAATCGTAAAGAACAGTGGGTTTTTTTGTAAATAGGATTGTTTCGGTGCCGTTTATTTGTAATTACATGATGGCAGTATTGATAAAGCGTATGCTTTATGTTGTAAAGGTCCTTAGTTTGACCCATGTAGTGCTTTCGTTTTCTGTTCCTATTTTTTGTTATCTCTCCAGCAACAGTTGTTCGGATAGGGATTGCCAGGGTTGAAGGGCCCTGGGATCAATCCCCAAAACAATAAATGCCATCAACGTAGGAGTTGTCCGTTCGCTTTCTATTTTGAAAACTTTCATATTTCAAACAACAAAAAATTCAGCTAAATGCATTACAACATGTGTTTTTTTCAAATACTTAAACCAATGGCTCACAGTTGTGACAGTTGTAATAACATTGTTTAACTTGTTGTCATCCTTTAGTCGTACAACTTCCACCTGAAACGGTATTTAAGCAGTTCATTCTCTTTACTATTAGGTTAATTATAGCAGTTATTTACAAATTGAAAGACTATTATCGGTTAATTTTCAAAATTATCACAAATACACGTTTGCCATCATAAACATTATGTTATGTTTGGTATTAACCTAGGCTCTCAACTCTGAATAATATAAGCTATGATCAATAGTTTTTCACCTGTTTAAATTATCATTCTGTATAACGCTTATGTTTCACGGAGGTGTTTTTTTCGCTTTATTCGCCTTCTACAAGAAACACCAAATATACATCCCGCAAAGGTTTTGTCCTCCTGACAGAGAGTTTGTCAGTACTAAAGGATATTCATTTTAATACACGAAATTTCCCGAAACAATTCCGAGTTCAATACAGTGAAAATTATATCCTGCCATTTCGTATTCTTTTGTAAACAGGGTGTTCACAGTGTCATTGGAACGGAGCTACAGCCGACCTTCAGCGTCGTCAGTAACGGTGCTGAATGTATTATGATCTCAAAGAAATTCTTCAAAGAAAAATCCACCGATTCTGTCAGACGCAATCTTGAAGAATGTGTAAGTTTATTAGGTTGCGGTCCCACGGATATATTTTTTGTGTCTGAAGCTATATCATATGTTCCTTCCGTGTAATAATGTTCCATGTAGCTTTAACATTCGTAAAAAATAAGATTACCTAGATCCCCGACAGTTCACGCAAGAATTAATTTAAGAACACTTGTATGTCTTTAGTTGTAGCTTGCTTCATTTGCGTCATGACAAAGATATTTCTGCTACACGTTTCGAAACCTTTCAAATGAAAATTGAACTTAGAAATCGAAGCCTTATAGAATTCAATGCATTTCAATTTTGTCCCCGTACTTTTTTTCTCGAAGCAGAAATACCAATTCCTTGTTCATTTTGCTTTATTACAGAATAAAGCAATATAAGATGAACTACTGTTTTCTTAAGTACTAAAACATTATCTCGAAATATGTGTGAGTTTGTTCAGGTGTAACTTAATTGGATATGTCAAGGTCTTTTATAAATGAAATCGTCATAATGTTTTAAGATATAGTTAAAATATGAGATATCTTAGAACAAATTATGATCGACCTGTCTATTTTGTTTGTTTGTTCGTGGCCTAACTTCCTGGCCACAGCCTGGGCAATAAGAAAACGGATGAATTGGAAGACTGAAAAAAGAGCAGCAGGTGGAATAGAAAATATATTTATTCCATACGTTTCCGTTGGGGCCACCGATCAGTTTTGGTGTCCCCTTAGCAAAAGAAACATGCGAAACTCCCTATTTGAATATGTCGCGTTGAATACCACAAACAGTAATCAATGTACGAAACAGCTTCAGAAACAATATGGCGTCCCACCAATTCCTTTGTAATGATTGACTAGTTATAATATTTGGGACGCAATATGCTGTGGCAATGTGTCGTCATTATTTTATAATAGAAGTCATTTTTATAATTAAAATTTAGAGTTGCTATGTGAAAATGGAAATGAGTTTTCTGCTGAAAGAAAATCGATACAAACCAATAAGTTTTGGTACTTTCTCATCATGGTATACTATATTCTAAACCGAAAATTCAATGAGCATTTTGAAGGCTTCTCTTTCTTATAGATTATATAACAGGATGCAATTAACCGTTTTCTGATGTAAAATTTGCAAAGTATTCGCAGAATATGTAAATCATTGTCTAGGAGGTAATTCACTTAAAATGAAATAATCACTACCGTATTATTTCTTTTTATAATTTATTTCTCTATCTTATTTTTATTATTATGTTATTTTAGCCTTATTAAAAAATTGTCAAACCCACACCCTCGAAAACTACCTTTTTAATTGCAATGTATAAGGTGTAATAATCAAAAGACAATAAAGGCAAATCCTGATCCTTTTTTATTTTGACACCATTTTATTAGGAATGATAATGAATCACAAAGATTTTTTTTAAACAAAATCATGGTATGCATTAATGATTTTTTATATTTTGTAATAACCCGCTATGCGAATTCATACAATCTAACATGTCAAAGAGTCATTATATTATATATATCATAACTTTACAATATAGAAACAAACCGGATCCTATTTTATTGGAAGTTCACCTACTGTCTATGTTGGATATGATTTATGGTAATTCATTATCAGTAACGTTTTGATGGTTACAGGAAAGTCGGTTCCCTCCTGACGAGGCCTTACAGAGATCTTTACAGAGCTACGTTAACTGGCAGGCCGACAGAAAGAAAATGTATCTCACTGTCGTGAATGATAAACAGAAGAGAAAAGAAAAACGACGCCAATATTTGCCACAATACACCGGTCAATATTGCTTTCGGACAGGTCCAGTATGATTAGGTCATTAACCGTGACGAGAATTTCTTTTCATCAACAATAGAAAGAGATAAGTATGATTCATCTTTGCACCGAGGGCAGTGTCACAGAAGAGCACAGTTATCAAATGTGATACTGATAACTGTAACTTAACAACGATATTGTGATTATTGAAGTAATCATAGCATGAAAAATGACCTGACCCGCACAGGCTTGGAACTGGTTATAAAGTCACGTGGCAATAAGGAAAATGAGGCCAACTCTATCAATGTCAACGAAGAAGCAATACATTATGGCTGTTATTTTGATATACGTACTGCATTGTTCTACATAGAAATATACACACTTACATCGAAGTGACAGTCAATTTCAGCTATTCAAATTGTTTTCTGCAGACAATCTAGAGCCACTGATGAGATTTATTGAAGACAGAAGTAGGTCACGCCACGTCAATGAGTAGATACAGGCAGATAACTGCATTTATATTAAGGGAAAATATGTAAATAAATAACGTCTGTATTCTTTATGAATCAAGAAGATGGAATCTACACGACAATATAGGGATTTATAAATGCATGGCAATATATAACGCGGGACTCAATATGCATAGAAACGAGGGACAAATGGGTTCTGTAATGATAACAGTTCCACAGAGAATTCCATTCTAGTCTTGCTACAGATTCTGGAAACAAACCGAACTAGTACAAGGGTGCAGTTCGGCAAACAGTGTATGGATTTTTATAAAGAATTTAACCCAGCTAAAATAAGCCGGTAATATTTATAATACGGTCGTTTCACTATCAAATGTATAAGCTTTCAGATAGGCAATGTTTATCTGTAACAAAGACTGCAATTGGTCAATAGGCGCAGACTTATGTTATATAACGAATGATTCTGGAATATTCATTTCCGCATCTAAAGCCGTAAAGGTCATGCTGTACCAACGTAAAACTGAGAGACATCCATCTTATATCAGACGGACAACTTAATACTTTTTTTTTTTTTACTGAATATACACGATTTTATTAAAATGATAAGCATATGATAAAAAAAAAACTCGTTTTGCTTTCCTTCTATCAGACCCTTCATTACGGCAGATAAATATGTTGATATGTATTACAACTTTTAAAATTAAAATCATAAACATTTTCAGGTTTGGGGATGTTTCATTGTTATGATACTTCGCCACTTTATATCGTTGTTAAAATATATAATTGTTTTATGTTGGATTGACTTGGAATTATAAGGATATTGTTTGTATTTTACCCCCAAATCCATGCAGTAATTATTTGGAAAATTACAAAATCGCTGTGCTGAACATGAATGGTGTTCGTCCCGGTACGGTCGCTCACATAACGTGCAACTATTTTCCCCATTCATAATATGTACTGAGAATCTTAAACTGACTATAACCCCTATATAATTTAAAGTTTTTTTGGTTTTTTTCCTTGTTACAAGTTTCTTGATTGGTTAAATGTGAACATATGACCAAAAACCCAAACAGTTTATATTTGTATTTGTAACATTACTTACAGATTTTCCGAATCCACATTTTCTAACCAACCAATGTCGTACTCACCCTTACATAATTTACACTGTCCTAGAAACAGAAAGATTTCCTGTTTTTCTTCTTTTTGGAATATTTGAACATAATAATTATTAAAAAATAGACTAGACGTCTACATCGTTTTTACAACAGTGACTCTCAGGTTCTATCGCCTGCTAGATATCAATCTGACAGTGTAGGCAGATTCAATCAAACCGAAACAAGATTAGGTGTCTCGCGCTGCTTCATTGTGTCATATCAGCCAGTTCAGCAACGAAATTAGTATAGGGATCGAATCTTGATGTTTTAAGTATTTGGGAGTATGCACAGACGTTGATTTTAGTTATACATACTTAAGACTAATTTCCACGAACACGACAACCCCGAGCATAGCTCCAGACTACCAGCACCCTATCCCTGAGTGATGCAGAGTTCGAATTACAACACAAAATGTTCCGATGTTCTATCGAGATATAGAAATGTGTTAAAACAAACACTGTTTTGTCGCGCGTGCGTCATCACCGGCCAACTTCCATGCATGATCTCTTATCCCTCTAAAGAACGACTTCACAACTTCATCGGTTTACAAAGTTGAAAACTCCTCCTAGATAGAGACGATACGATTATAGCTCAATCGAAATGAAATGGCTGTTTCTTCGTCAATTTTCTCAAAAAGCCGATTGAAACGGCTGAGGGAAATTCTTACGTGGCTCAGTCTCAAGATCTCAAAAATGACGCCGCAAGGTTCCGTCATATCACTACACGTAATTATTAAATTAAATTAAAACGTTCGTTATTTTAAAGATGTTTTCAGTTTTCCTGTCACTGAGATCCCCAAGAGAGTGACCGTACCAGCTTAATTTTCTCTTACCCTGCTAGCCCTGTCATATGTATAATACACCGTTGATGCTACGGGGCCGATGCGTTGTCAACTTAGCATTATGGGCGTGACATCATACATACTTGGGTAAGACAAGGATTTGTTTACCCTGGACAGGTAAATCCACACTTGGTTTGTTTCTCAACTACAATGCATATGATATTATTCAATTTGTCTTGTTTCAAACTTATATAGATTTAGGAGGTATATGAAAATAATTGTATTTCTGAATTGGTATCTCATTTGATCTTATAAGTATGAGAATTTAAAAAAAATGCCAAAGCAAACCATAACATTGTGTAAAAATTGAGAATGTGTGACTGAAATATAATGTGTTATGTTTAATGTACTGTTGAAAAACTTCAAAAAATAAATTAAAAAATAAATAAATATCCACATTTTTTCCGTTTAAGATATCATTTTCTCACATAAGGGTTGATAATTGGGATTCCCCAATCATCACAGTTGAATGACGTCACGTTCACGATGCATTGAGCCCGTATCATCAATATTTTATTATATATATACAAAGCAGACACAACAGGGTAAGAGAAAATCAAACCTTTACCCAGGTGAAATAGGGAATCCCAACCACAAGGGTAAAGTTGCAAAACAATCGGCAAGGTTTATGTTTGGGGTCTGACAAATTAAGATTCCCCTACCAAACCAAACTGGTTTATATTCTAGTATCTGGCTTTCAAGAGTGTGAAAGGCTATACGCAGGGAAAACACGTGTTACTGTTTCCTTTCTTCTATCATACCTATGATTTTTTTCATTTTTGGGTCGTCGCATGAAATGGTCAGTATTATCACAAACTGTTAATTTAAACAGCTTATGTGTATCATCTTAAAGTATGTTGAAGTACTTCTTTAATGTAATTACATTTCAAGGGAGATGGCTTTACATAAGATTTAAAATCTTGTTGCCAGATCCTATACATATTCCTATTAACCTGTGTACTTATTGCATATGATATATAAATGAATATTGTTTAAACCAAGCAGGGAAAGTGTGGCTACGCCTGTCCGGGCTTCAATAGATGTTGATGATCACGTTGTCGCGTCCTATTGATGCAGAACACCGTAAATATGCTTGATTCTACATTGAACTCTGTCTTCATTCAGCAAGACGTTGGATAATCGATGCATTTTGTCGCCATTTGAAATACAAGGTCATATTAATGGTTCTGTAGATCCATATTTAGGAACAGTTTAGTCTTTTCAACACGCTTCACGATATTTGCTCAATAGTGAAAATGCGTTCTGACAGATGTTCAGGTGAGAAATTAAAGTATGCTTTCAATACTTTCAGACACACCCTCAAATTGTACAAGAACAAGACATAAGTTATACAAGAGTCATAAATGATTAAATGATATAGCATATATTGTGTATGAGATATTCTATGTCCTATATAAAATATCTCATTCGATTTCTATATATATTACATAGAGCATAATATACATCGTATATTCTTTACGAAATACACTTTAATATGCATATCACATATAACGTAAATTGTAATACGATACTAGATGTGATACACAAGATATTAAAAACTTTGAGAATATTTTTTAATAATCTGGACATGATGCTATTTTGCAAGCCAACCTACTCCAATCTCACGTGAACTGAAAACATGCTAGTTGAAATTCTTTCCATCAATACCAGGGGAAAAAACAAACGTACCAAATCAATCGTAAAGGATTTTCCAGGTGAGTGACTTTGACTAGCTCAGGTAGATCAATTTCCTAGCAGTGGTCATAGCAACGGTGAGAGCGGCTCGTTTTTAGAATCACTTGATATATCAACATGAAGATTTCTTTACAGAAAGAATATTATCTTTGACAATACATTAAGCTAATGTTGTGTGATGAAACTAAGCGTTAAGAAGTTTTTTGATGTTTTTTTGATGTAAAATACAATCGGTGCTTTAATAGTAAACATATGAACGGATTCCCTATTCTTCTTTACAAAGCATTGTGAAATACAACAGTAACCTGCAAACGAATAAATGCTTTTCTGTCGACTCGTAAAAAGGGTGTATCAACATACATTTTCTAGCATGGTTGAACCCAGTATGAAACACGACACAATTTTAACTGTGATTTCTGTTGTGTGTATATAGTAGACTTTATTCCTCACGAATAGGTAAAGAAAGAAAGTAAAAGAGAAAACGATTACATCTTTTTAAGATATTCCAACCTGAGGATCATAAGTTGTTAAGTAGAGAAGAGACTCACCTTTGATGTCGGGTAACACCTTGGGGACGTGTAAATTAATACTGTTATTTCCTTTATAAACTAAATACAATGACGAGTAACATTATCTAATAATGAACTGTTGAACATTGAAAGGATTGAACATGCCGGATTGAATTTATGACATGCTGGCGAAAAGAGAATCATTTAACCCTCTCTTTGCTCCAGTGGTACGGATGTGTTACGATGTATAACAACACATGGTGAACAGCAACAAATTAAATGCAATGCTAGCAGGCAAACTACGTGCAAGTCAAGATTGATCAATGTTGACACATCCTAACTCTGAGCTAAGGATTGGGTGGAATTTTTTTTCTCATTTTGGCTTAAGTCAATAATTTAAAGATTAACCTGTCAGACAAATCGGCATAAAAAACAACCGTAATTGATTATTGGTATTATTGTTTTGTTTGTTTGCTTGTGTTTTGTTCGAAATATTATTTCAATGAACACTGTTTTATGCTATAAGGCGTGCCGCTCCTTTCTATTTGTGTTGTTGCACCCATATGGACTATTTACAGATAATCATTGATATGCATTTATCTTAATAAATCTTTCTTCGGGGAATCTAGATATCAATAATGAATCAATGAATACCACAATAGGAAGAGGATGGTTTAGCGACATTGCCGCAAAATAGCATGTTCACATAAAGAAGTCAGACAAATATTTCATAGATTTCCTTCCTGGAGCTCTTACTTATAAACGTATATAACGGTATAGATATGGCAAGACAATTGTATAATTGATATCCGATAACTTATTGTATAGGTCTGCTTTCCAATAAATATAGTTCCACTTACGGAAACAAAATATCTGAGAGGCTAGAGGACCGCTGATTAAATAATATCTAAATAGATCGTACGGAGGTGAAGCTATATAGCTATTTTTGTAGGCTTTATCTATTTTAGAAAAACTATTTTATCAGAATCGTATTTAAGGTTTTGCCGACCAATTAATCAAAGATAGACAAACCAGTCTTAGCAGCATCCATTTACAAAGAAGCAGCACTGGTTTCGTCAGTAATGAAATAACTTTGAAAACATTGACGAAATTAAAGCATACACACAAAAAACGAAATTGTGTTTAATATTTATTTTCTTTGGTAAAATGATATATCGTGGTTTTACTTCCATTATTTCAATTCCAATTAGTTTGATATTTTTCCACCAATAATAAATGTTCTAACCATCACAGAGGTAACTTCTTATCATGTTTGGTATTATCAGCTTTCGTGTGGTTACAACATTAGTGCCTTTCACATCATCCTCGTACACCTACCTACACGCTCTGTGTTTTGGCTTTATATTGTGTTGTTGCGGGATTAAAGTCCTTGCAACATCCAAGCCATTTGATATATAGGGTCTTGCGTCCTATTAACATCTAAGGTCATTTAAGGACGTGCTTCAATTTGTGTGATGAATACGTCTGTGCTAGAGGTGGTTTGTTGTTTTGTTTTTCGTCTCTTTAAAAAAGCACGGATCTGATGCCGACTTTAGATAGCAACCACACTGAAATATCAGACCGGGGGGAACCAGCACAGTACTCAAACTGATCACATTATAATAACAACGAGTAAACCATATGTTTTGATAAGTTTCAAAGCCAAACGTTCAGCAGAGAATACCAACTACCACTTTAAAGACTTTGGTATGCCTCCGGACGCAGACATGTTCACATGGGCGAACGTTCTGCAATACAGCGAAGAAAAAACAGGTGGCACCAAGGTAATGTTACGAAATATTTACAGATAAAGAATAGAAGATACATAGGATAGGGAAAGATAAAAATATGAAGACTATGGCCTGGGAGACATCGTGCGTAGAACAGGTCCAAAGTGTTGCAATGGAGACAGCAGGTCAATTTTGGTTTCTCCAACTTCGGTTAAGCTGAAAACACAGAAATAATCCAAATTCTGCAAGGGGCCTAACAATTATCCTCGTATATCCAAGGATACAAACATACAAACAAATCTGGCATGAACCTCGTACTTTCTTGGACACCTACGTAGTAAGTGTAATAATCTCCGGACATCCTTGGAAGTCTACGTAGACAGTAAGCGTAATAATCCCCGGACATCCTTGGAAGTCTACGTAGACAGTAAGCGTTATCATCTCCTGACATCCTTGGGAGCCTACTTACGTAGACAGCTTGAATTTTATATTGATTCTAGTTAAACTTTGGATATCTCCGTAAATTGTTTGTGCAATGCTTTCAGTAAATCCTAGCACATCTGCGTGTAGATAACTAGTTTTTGATTATCGTACCTCCTCGGACGTCTACCTCGCCAGCTTGCGTAATGGTCATCTACATCCTCGGACAGTTACGTAAACCGATAGTGTGGTACGTTTTTGTAAAACTTGTATGTTGAAAGCCTTTTTTTTAAAACCATTTTATGGACGAGAGCATTATCTTATTACTATTGAATAATTACAATTCGCTTTATGTTAAATGGGGTTTCCAAAGACAGACGGTAATATTTCACAACGAAATAACAAGATCGCTTTTCCTTAACATCGAGGTCAAAACGACAAGGGTCCAGATCTATTATACAAAGTATGTGAAATGAACATGAAGCTGAAGAGTCTGTATTAGAGCTTCTATTTCCCTTCTCCTGTCACCACATTTCTGTAGTCAATTAGATTTACTTAAACGAAACATGCATTTACTATCAAATCGAGGCCCATGTAGACCTTTATTTATGAATACAACTTATATATACAGCGAGATAATATCCGGAGCGTATCAAACTATTTTGTAGTGTCCGTATTTTCATTAAGCCACTTTTTATTGATAAAAACGAGATTTGTAGGATAACATTACTTTAAATAACCGAAAATCACCAAAATCTTTTACTTGATTTTTATTTATATATAAAGAATTGTTTGTCAAATGCACAGATGCCTTGGTGTTCAATTGAAGACATCGACTGAACAGTATTCATACCTGTGTTTGGATATTTCCAAAATGGCAGCGATGTCAATCATAGTAATAACACTGGTTTACTTTAAAGACACATTTTATTTTACAGTTTTGGACATCAAGGCTTACCGACACCAACATCCAACACATATTTATACATGAATATAAAATATATAATTTGGTCATTGTATGTTTGGATAGTACACTTGTGGAAAGTCACTGAATCACACACCGCAACTCAGTCCTGTGTCTATCACTAGTGGGAGTTGGTGGCACTTTAGTGACAGTACCACTAGTGTTTGTACGCATTTGCGCCACTAACAAGTCCGTACGAATACTTGGCCGACGCACGTTTGGCGCAATGGTTCCACATGCATCTGACATTTTGCGCCTTATAGACATCCCTCGCTTTCCCGACTGCGAACTATTTCCGCCGATGTATGAGGGTTGAACACGCCGATGTAACGACGGGCTCATTTCTGCAGGCAACTTAGCGAGATCAAATAAATTCTGGAATGATTCCTCAACATTGATGTTCTTTTTGGCGGATGTTTCAAGAAAACCACAGTGATGGTAAGCTTCTTTAAGCATTTCCGGTTCCGAAGGGTCGATAACTCTGTGTTTCTCTTTATCGCATTTATTTCCTACAATCATCATCGGCACGTGAGCTAGCCGTTTTGTCTCTTTCCGGCATTGACCTTTGCACTCTTGGATCTGTTTACACAACTTTGATACTTCCTCAAACGAATCTCTGTTGTCGATGCTGTACACTAGTACAAACAGGTCACCTGAAATACAGAAAAAAAACTACATACAATAATTAATCTGCCAGAGTGTTATCAGCACTAAACGAACAGGTAATGCAATATCCGAGCCTTTGACACATATCTCTGAATCAAAACCAGGTAAATCCAGTGTGTGCGTGTCAATGGCTCTTCATGAGCATGAACGCATTAGTTTGCCTGTGATATGTGAACAAGAAGTTAAGGTTCGATATTCTATCGACTATTTGACACCAGATGCGATATCTCTAAGATCAACAGATGCATGTAATGAAAAATCAAAACAAATGCATGTAATGAAAAATCTCACAACGCCTAGTGCTTGCCCTTTCTCATACTTATGCTGAAATATGTAATTACAATGTGTACTTGTGTACTAAAGATGAACAACAAAAACTACACTAATTGCCTGTCAAATAACCGATTTGAAATAAAATGAATATTTTGAGATTGAGCCTAAAATTAGCAACACAGACAAAACTGCTTATGCATGCAACTCATACTAGCTTTATTTGATTGGAGCTTGTATTAAGATCTCACCTGCATTAAGAGACTATCTTTTTTGACCTCCCAAGAGTGGTCTCCTAATACAGGTTTGACTGTAGATGTAATAAAATATTTATTTGGGCAAATAAGTTATAAGTTTTAGTCGAAAAAAACATACGGAATTTCCTGTTTTCAAACGAATTTATGACACAATAAGATAAACCAAACCTGGAAAATATCACACTGAATTACACATAGTCGATTCCTGATTAATTTTTAAACAACAAGTCCATTTTTATAATCCCTAATGCATTATTATTTACATAGTTCGGCCCAATTTATTAAAAACACATATTTAAATCACGTTTCAAGCACAGCACATCGCTATGTGCCGCAGTTGGATAATGGATCTCGAATTGCAATTCCTAAGAGTGTTATCAAGATATCAGCGAGTATTCCAATCACTCTGTTGTTACTCAATTAGATCTAATTACTTGCACTTCGGCCATCTCCGGGTCTCTTGGCTAGCATACTCTTTAGTTATCTTTCCCCGATGATCGATCGCTTGCGATAAACCGCAGCGAGCTGTTGCCTACAACGCCGGAGTTGTATATGAAATTTTTGCATTTGATATCGTGACGTTTGATTAAATAATCGATTCGGAAATTACCTCCGCTAGGAGTCCAGCAACAGGGGCGCCGTGACATATCCTCTTGGCATTACGTCACAGCCCATCGGTCATGAGGCTATGACATCCCGAGCGTCCCATGCCAATAACATATATTACTAACGTCTGCAGATGAAGCTCACTAGAATGCGTAATAATAGTTTATACTTCGTTCTGTCATATGTTGGCGAACGATCGAAAGTCTATAGTACAGTCGGTCATTAGTGAAAGACACTCATTTAGGTTTCCATGGACTGGTACGATCACCCTTCATGGGAAGTGCCTACAGCGCTGTTTAAGATGTAAAGTGGTACTTTGACTGATTATTATCGTACAAGACTGAAAGGTGTCTTGTTAGTGAATGATAATAATATTCAAAATTGGGAAAAGATTGCATATATCTGTCTCTAAACATTCCGACCCCTCATTTTATACAGTCCACATTATATTAAGCACTTGTCTGCAAGGCATTGCTAAACGTATTAATAGAGACATTACATCTACTTGTGTTAAGATCATTATAAACGCTTGTCTATAGAATGTGTTCCCTTTTCCAGCTTGAGTTTTGAGCCATACCCTGATCATGCGCATTAATGTTCATTTTGGCAAAATGCTGCCAACCGTCGATATAACTCTAGATGTGTCATAGCAAGGCAATTTATTGTTTCTCCATCGGTAATACAGCGCTTGGCATTGGATGGGGTAGCCTATCTGGCAACATAGCTTGGCACTCTTCCTATTGGTAATTGCGCTGGATATCGTTCTGGCAATCTTGCTGGTCAACAATCGATTTGACATTTTATGTAAAGAATGAGAACGACCCTGTTTCAAAAGTACAGTAGAAGTTAGCATTACTCACAGATAACTTATCTGAGATTATATTCCTATTATCACACCACGTATTGGGATGCAACGTTACCGAGAAAAATCTTGTCCCGTAGAAAAACTCCTTATTGATTCACCTTGGCCAATGTTTTATAACCCAGCGACGCATTATTAAATTCAAATTTTCAATATGAAGTTTTTCTTACTTATCATACATTTTATGTTTGTAGCTAATAGCTATTATTTTTAAAAAGTCATATTATGTCAAATATTCTATAATTCGGAGGTTAATGTTTATCCTAAACATAAGCTTACTTTATTTAGTTGAGTTGATATTAAATTCGATCTTCTTTAAAAGGTCTTATTTTAAATGATATAGTCATTCAGAGTAACGCGAAATACTTTAGTGTATATGATATTCCCGAGTACCAATTAACACCTAATTAACCAAGTAAAGATCATCATTCTGTCAGGATCCCTGTCCTACTGGAAGTTACTCGTTACTTCTTCTGTAGTTTCTCATACATACAGTAATCACCATGTAGCTCATTCGGTAAGAGCAACATTATTTGATTGGAAGTTAAAGGATTCGAATCCTGATCTTACACCATTGTATTCTTACACTCAGAACACTAATGTTGATTTTTTTCATATTCATTACTTTTTTGTAAAAGTTCAGCAAGGTATCCTGTTGATTTGGCAGTAATACCGAGATATTTGGTATGTCTTATTTAGAGGTATTTGATTGGGGAGTTAGTGTTAAACTCTCTGGGAAGGAGACGTCACACGTAATAGCAGCCTAACATACCCCCTTAATGATCCATGAACATAACGAAGCATTTTGTTGAACTACAAATCCGGAAATCTAACATAATAGCCTGTTCGTGATTGAAGCTACGGCCGGTGTGTGTTATTTGCATCTTGCCACATGGCGTGTACGATTTCCATATAGAGCGGAAACTGTGAGCAGCAAGCTGACATGCTATCTTACTCACACACAGACAGTCCAAAAGCTCCACAATCAATAAAATTCAACTTAAACACAAAAGCGAGAGATGGAGATCCAATGATTAAAAAATGTCCGTAGTTAAATGAAAATGAAGCAGTTAAATTCTCCCAAATCGTTACAATCAGATAGGAAAATATTCCGTATCAAAACCATATGTTCCCTATTCATTTTTTTCATGGACCATGTGAATGACATCATATCTGATATTATTGACACGTGATTTCAACAAGTCCAACCATTGTTACACTGTTTCTGTATCAAATGTGTTAAATGGCAGACAACATCACTGGACATGTCCAAATCCATATGCCAGATAGTGAACGTAGAAGGATCCATGCTCCCCGTTGTTCTTGAGATGAACTTTGGAATGTCCAATTGTCTAATGGCCGTCAACAACTCTGGGCAGAAGGTTTTTGCCAATTTCATGTCATGAATTTTGATCGGCGCCGATGCTTCGTGTGAGATAGCGCCCCTTGCATGCAAACATAGGGCTAGTAACAAGTTGAGTCATCATTTAGCTTGTTCGGATTTTCTAAGACAACCCTCCTTAACAATGAATGCAGTGCAGACATGTCATGATACTTCTACCTTATAATCAATTACGTGGAAGCCCTGTTGAAATACATATCAGTCTCCAAATAGAGAGATAGGATGGTTTGAATTGATAGTACACGGTCATTGCACACATGAGTGTTCACACAGTGGTGTTTTCTAATTCTCACCTATCTGCATGCGTTCTAATCACTCAATGATATGAACAACAGCATAAAAACTGTGTCGCAGAAGGAACAACACTACGATACTAAAGTGACAACAACATTACGAACAATATTGTCCTCAGCAACACTACGATACGATAGTACCCTGAACTCTATAATGCCGAAAACACAACGACACTATAGTGTCTCTCAGTAACACAACAACACCATAGTGTATCTCAGCAACACAACGACACCATAGTATCTCTCAGTAACACAACGACACCATAGTGTCTCTCATCAACACAACGACACCAGAGTGTCTCACAGTAACACAACGACACCATAGTATATCTCATCAACACAACGACACCATAGTGGCACTTAGAAACACAACGACACCATAGTGCCCCTCAGTAACACAACGACACTATAGTGTATCTCAGTAACACAACAACACCATAGTGTCCCTCATCAACACAACGACACCATAGTGGCACTTAGAAACACAACGACACCATAGTGCCCCTCAGTAACACAACGACACTATAGTGTACCACAGTAACACAACGACACTATAGTGTACCACAGTAACACAACGACACTATAGTGTACCACAGTAACACAACGACACTATAGTGTATCTCAGTAACACAACAACACCATAGTGTCTCGCATCAATACAACGACACCATAGTGTCTCACAGTAACACAACGACACCATAGTGTCCCTCAGTAACACAACGACACCATAGTGAATCTCATCAACACACCGACACCATAGTGTCTCTAAGGAACACAACGACACCATAGTGTCTCTTAGTAACACAACGATATCATAGTGTCTCTGAGTAATACAACGACACCATAGTGTCTCTCAGCATCACACCGACACCATAGTGTCTCTCAGTAACAAAACGACACCATAGTGTCACTCAGCAACGACACCATAGTGTATCTCATCAACAAAACGACACCATAGTGTCTCTCAGCATCACAACGACACCATAGTGTCTCTCAATAACACAACGACACCATGGTGTCTCTCAGCAACACAACGACATCGTTGTGTCTCTCAGTAAGACAACCACACCGTAGTTTCTCTCAGTAACACAACGACACGATAGTGTCTATCAGTAACACAACAACACCGTAGTGTCTGTCAGTAACACAATGACACCATAGTGTCTCTCAGTAGGACAACGACACCATAGTGTCTCTCAGTACCACAACGACACCGTAGTGTCTCTCATCAACACAACGACACCAAATAGTCTCACAGTAAAAAAACGACAACATCGTGTCTCTCATCAACACAACG